GGTATCGGGTGCAGCCAAGCTGGTTGTGTGCGGGGCGGGCATGGAGATGTTGGATCTGCGGTTGTAGAACCAGCTACCATGGGAATTGCACGTACACCTTTGAGATAGAAATATAGACGCATAGCAAATACATTTCACGGAACGAAATCCACCGTCACCGCCGTAACCAAGCAATCATGCCAGACGGACATCCCGTAGCCAAAGGGGTATAGCCCATCATCACTGCAGGGATCCCTTGCAGATCAAAGAGCTTGGAACCCCGCACCCCGGAACACAAGCTGCAGGAATTGAGCTGGCAAGTGGTTGGGGTGCCGGTTAAATTCAGTTTTCCAGTGCCAGCCTTTGTGGTGCGATGCAGTGCAGACTTGCAGACTTGCAGCAGCAGCAGCAGCAGCAGCAACAAGCGGCCAGGGTCGTCTCGGGATAATAGCAATCGAGCAGCCCCCCCCCGGGTGAGGGGAAGGGAATCTCTGCCAGAACTCTGCATATAAAGACAGCGGCGACCCATCATGTAGGGCATTCGAGGTGATAATTGTTATTTGTGATCTTCATATCCGATCTAAGCCAGCCCAGCTCCACCATGAAGTTATTGCTTGGGATAGCAGCCATGCTGGCCACGGCTCGAGCCAGGCCATCGCCTCGCGCGGGGCCGACCAGTCCGACTTATTTCTTCACTTTGTATGGATACTGTTGTTGTCCGTTGGAAGAAGACTGCATACTAAGAGATTGAAACCATGCAACTAGTGGCGACTCCTACTCCCAGACCGGGTTCAGTGCCTCGGGGACTCAACCGTCTGCTGCGGCGCCGATGGGGAATCCGGATTTAGGTATGTACTGTATTACTACAAGCTCAGCTCAGCCATCTTCCTCCAGCCTCCTTCCCCCGTGATACGCAAAACCCCAGACGACAACCACACCCAGACAGCACACCCCTCGCCTCAGAACTGACAAGGAATCAAGGCATCGGCACCACCACCAACGGCCCCAACTACATCGGCTACCTGACCACGCAGGAGAATGCCTCCCTCGTGCTCAACTACAACCTCGCCGCCGGCGGCGCCACCATCGACAACGCCCTCGTCCCCGCCTACCCGGGCGACCTCGCCGCCCAGCTCCGGCTTTTCGAGGCCGTCTACAGCGACAAGCCGGCCAGTGCGCCGTGGACCTCGCGCGACGCGGTGTTTGGGATCTGGATCGGGATCAATGAGTACGCTCCCTCCTCCCCTGCCCCTCTTCCGCCCCTGGCTCCAAGCAGAACAAACGCATCACCCAGCGCAGCCTGATAACCGAGCAACAGCATCGGCAACGCCTACGCCTCCACCGACGCAGCAAGCTACACCCCGCGCCTCATCGCGCGCCTCAAGCAGCAAGTCGCCCAGATCTATGCGGCCGGCGGTCGCAGGTTTCTGTTCCTGAATGTCCCGCCCACTAGCCGCAGTCCTTTGTTTTTGGAGCAGGGGAACGCCACCGTTGCGTTGCATGCCGCGTATCTGGCGACGTTTAATAAGAATCTGGAGGCGATGGTGCAGGGGTTGCGGGGGGAGTTTGCGGGGGTATGTTATTTCCTTTTTCTTTTCTGGGGGTTGAGTTTGGGGAAGGGGAGAGGGGGTAAGGTTAAAGGTCTGGCTAACTGGGGCATGCGGGTAGGTGACGACCGTGTTCTACGACGCGTGGTCGTTCATGACCAAGGTCCTGGACGATCCGACGGCGTATGGGTTCCCGGATGCGACGTGCATCAATGATGATGGGGTGAGCTGTGTGTGGTGGAATAATTATCATCCGGGGATGAAGTATCATTTGCTGCAGGCGGAGGATATGAAGAAGTATTTGGGGGTTCTGGGGGGGTGGTAGGTTTGTTTTATTGCTGGGTTGCTGTGCTGGGGTTTGGTTGTTGAGGGTGGGATGGGGGAGGAGGGGAGAGGGTCGGTGATGAGTATATAGCTGCTGTTGGGCAGTCTCTGTACAGTCTGTCAGACTAGAGCCATGCGATCATGTTACTAGGTACTTGCACATCCATGCCTGAACCGCCACGGACCTCCGCGAATAAGGATCCCTGGTAATCTCCGTGCCTGTTTCACACCCCGGATGCCCGGCCCAGATGCCAAATGCCCAGATGCCAAGGCGGGAATGGCACCGATGATCGTCGAGGATCCGGGTTGCTACCAGCACTACTGAACAGCTGGATAGAGGCAGGCACGCTGATCGTTGTGTCAGGTTGCGGTATTGATGGATGTGCAACGGTAGAGGGTCCGTCGACCGCTCCGTTCTACATTTGGAAGAATCCGCACGGAATGGAAGTATAAAAGTCGGACGCTGTTGTGGTTGTTGGGAGCGCAAGCAACAAGATTCCACAGTCGACAGGCACCATGAAGCTGCTTGACCTACTCGTTGCTGCTGCCGCGGCCGGCAGTGCAGTGGCGGCCCCGACCCACGAACACACGAAGCGGGCTTCTGTTTTCGAATGTATGTTGTCCCCATCAGAGATATCCCCAGTTGATGAGTGCTCATAACGATAGGGATCGGATCCAATGAGTCGGGCGCCGAGTTCGGCACCGCCATTCCGGGAACTTGGGTGCGGTCACTCCCCACGACAAAATTCACCCCGTTGACTGGGCTAGGGTATCGACTACATCTTCCCGGATACCTCCGCCATCGCGACTCTCGTCAGCAAAGGCATGAACATCTTCCGCGTGCAGTTCATGATGGAAAGATTGGTCCCGAACTCGATGACGGGGTCGTATGACGAGGCCTACCTGAACAATCTCACGACGGTAGGTTCGAGCAAGCACTCCATGATGGTCGAGGCTGATAAGGTTAGGTGGTGAATGCAATCACGGCTGCAGGTGTCCATGCCATTGTAGACCCTCATAACTATGGACGATAGTGAGTGATGAGCTCCTCATCCCGCAATTCAACGTCGCTAACCGCCCCAGCAACAACGAGATCATCTCCAGCACCGCCGACTTCCAGACCTTCTGGCAGAACCTCGCCGGGCAGTTCAAGGATAACGACCTGGTCATCTTCGACACGAGTAAGCACCCCCCTGCCACCGGCAGTCCGTACTAACACGACCACAGACAACGAATACAACACCATGGACCAAACCCTGGTGCTGGACCTCAACCAGGCGGCGATCGACGGCATCCGGGCCGCCGGCGCCACTTCCCAGTACATCTTCGCGGAGGGCAACTCGTGGTCCGGGGCGTGGACCTGGGCGGACATCAACGACAATATGAAGGCGCTGACCGACCCGCAGGACAAGCTCGTCTACGAGATGCACCAGTACCTGGACTCGGACGGCTCAGGGACGTCCGGCGTCTGCGTGTCGGAGACGATCGGCGCGGAACGCCTGCAGGCCGCCACACAGTGGCTGAAGGACAACGGCAAGGTGGGCATCCTGGGCGAGTACGCCGGCGGGGCCAACGATGTCTGTCGCACGGCCATCGCGGGGATGCTGGAGTATATGGCCAACAACACGGACGTGTGGAAGGGCGCAGTTTGGTGGGCGGCTGGCCCCTGGTGGGCGGATTACATGTTCAGCATGGAGCCGCCCAGCGGGCCGGCTTATAGCGGGATGCTGGACGTTCTGGAGCCGTATCTGGGGTGAGCTCATGTGGTGTAGAGGACGAGGTGCTGTAAATATTCAAGGATATTCTTGGCGTTGACCTGTGAATGGTTATGTAAGGGGTTGACATCATAGACGAGAGCTGTACTCCGTACTGATGGTCTGTCCCTTTCAGCCTTACTGAATGGATGCTCAAGCCTGGCTCGATGGGAAGGTTGAGCCCTGCTGGTTCTTTTGACTGAGTATGTGTGTACAGTTCCATGGATCGAATTGAGGGGGTGCCCAGAATAGAAGTCAATAAACCAGGGCATCGGCCTGAGACAGCCAACGTAAGCTTCCCGGTGACAGCCAAAGTTTGCATGAGCGCAGTAATCGGCTTGTCGATCAGCCACTGATGGTCTCGATGACTCTTCCCTGTCATAACATCGTTGCCATATTTCAAGTTGAATGCTTTCGTGTCTACTGCAATAAATCGCAATTTCGGAGCTGCCTTGAAGTTCTCTTATTGTGCAGGAGATATCCTCCCCGCTTAGTCAGGCGAATGTTCCTGTTGGGTTCCATGGAACGCCGCAGATGAAGCCAAGACGCGAGGTGCGTGTGTCGAGGCTTAGACGCAGAATCTGCAGCGAGGGGTACGTACGTCTCCCCGGATTACAATGTTGATGTCTATCTGTGACCATTGAGATTAATGTTGCCAAGAGGATAACGGGGAAGCCTAAAACTCCTGTTTTGCTTTTCCTGGGCCTTGGGCAATGGGCTGACTCGTCCAACTTCTGGTGGAAAGGTCGATGAATAATAAACTCATCAACATGATGATCGCTGGAGTCGATCCACTGTGTATCAGATAAGTTTGACCTTCTGGGGCGGGCTCGGATCCTTCGTCTGTGATATTTGACTTTGGCAGTCGTGTTGCGACTGTGCTAAAAGCTGGGGCTGAAGGGGTTGGTTCGAGCTCCCTCCAAACCAGGCAGTCCGTTTCTAGCTATCCGTACTCGTACAATGGCAGGGTCTGCCGATTTTGATAAGATGGACTGACCATAAGACGCGTATTAACGCAGCCACAACTGACGTGGCGGTAGGGCTGGTGAGTCTCCGCCACGAGGGTCTGGCGGTGTCAAAAGCCCTCAAGCAAAGAAAAAGAGCAGTGAAGGGACCCACTCTTCCCGTGTTGCGGTGGAAACATTGCATTATCGAAATAGAAACAAGCGTGGCGTAGTTGGTGCGGCACATCTCGTGATTGGTTCGCTGATCGACTTGGCTGTAAATTTGCTCCCAACCGTCCGCATTATTTGCTTGCTGCTGACTGCGCCTCTCTCTTTCTCTCTCAACTCTACATCATCCCGGCGATCCTTCGGCTCACCCGTTTATTTACTTGTTTAAAGCCCAGCCTCTTTCCACTCACTCCAGCCTTTTCTCACTCTCTTCCTCTCTTCAACTTTCCTGCCAACTCTGTCCACTCTCAACCTTCCCTGGACAAGTGTTTTTCAAATACCAAAAACAGCATCACACTTTCAAAAATCATCGGCACTATGGGTAAAGGCGGTCGCATTGTCTGTATCTTCACCCCATATGTCCTCACCATCGCCTCCTTGATATGTATTATCATGGTGGGGCTGGGCTGTACCAAATCCAGCTCCAGCACCTTGGATAATCTCTACTTCTTCAGAGTATGTATACCATGCGCCTGCATGCATTTACATGTGCCAGACTAACCTCAATCCAGATCAACCTCCAAAACATCACAAATGGAACCTCATCGACGACCGCAAAAATCACCTCGGCCATCAGCGATCTCGCCGGTGTCTCGGATGGCGACCTATCGGCCGCATTGGAGGAGATCGAGGAGCAGTACAACATCCAGGACTTCTACACCGTCGGTCTGTGGGGTTACTGCTCGGGCAACATCACCAACGGCAACGACTACAAGACGACCAACTGCTCGAAGCCCGAAGCTGAATTCTGGTTCAACCCGTTGGAGGTGTGGAACTTGGAAGAGTCCGGTCTTGAGAACGCGCTCTCCAGCAGCGTGAAGAAGGAACTGAAGGTCTACAAGAGCGTCTCCAAGTGGATGTTCATCGCCTACATCATCGCATTCATCGCCACCATCGTCGAACTGGTCGTGGGTGTCTTCGCCATCTGCAGTCGCTGGGGAAGCTGCGTGACCACTCTCGTCTCAGCTGTATGTTCTGACGCATTCCTCCCATTCCGTTCCCTCCACTAACCAACCCGCCTGCAGGTCGCATTCCTCTTCACGACAGCCGCCTCCGTGACGTCAACCGCCCTGTTCGCCGTCCTCAAGGGCGTCTTCAAGGCCGAGCTGGAATCCTATGGCGTCAAGGGCCAGATGGGCAAGAATATGTATGTCGCCACCTGGCTCGCCGTCGCCTTCTCGCTGGGTGCCTCCCTGTTCTGGCTCCTGAGCACCTGCTGCTGCTCCGGCCGCTCCCCCTACAACCACCGCAACACCGCCCGCGCCGTGACGGCCGAGAAGGCCCCCTACACCTACGAGCCCCTCGGCCCCTACGGCCAGCCCCAGCAGCCCGCCTACACCAACACCGCCTACCCGCCCCCTCCTCCCCCGGGCCACGTTCCCATGCAGCAGAACGGCCGCACCAACGCGTACGAGCCGTTCCGTCACGTCTAAGCCGCGTCGCAAAGCTCTATCTTCCATTCATCGAATGACATTTGGGAAAACGGCGTTTCGGTTGAAAGAATCCGGAGATAATGACCTCTTACAATCATGATGACATACCAACAAGCCTCTTATTCAACTGTTGATTGGGGCTCATGTTGGTCTAATGACGTTAATGCAAGCTGCATCTGCAATTGAGAGTTGATTCGCTCTAGACTTCTTATCTCCTCACGTTCATTTTGATCTGTACATTGCTTCAATTGCTTTTATCTTGTGATACCTGCTGCTCCGCGGCATTGTTCTTGTACCTATAGATGGGAAATATAAAACTTATCTTATCGCATAGGCTGTTTAGTAGTGTCTCTCGTGGAAGTTGGTATACGCATATCTCTGGCTTTCTGGGTCTGTTGTCGTTCAACGCTAGAGGCTTATTTTCTCAGTTTGTTGCAGTGATCTAGACCTTCATCCCGTAGCCTGGATCAGTCCTTAGGCACGCCTCACGATCCACAATGAAGGTTTCTCTTTCACGAATCTCTTCCTTCCCATCATACAGCCATGCTGATAGAGGGGGGCCCGAATGAAGGCGCGCAATTCGACTGAGTATAACCCCCCCTGGACTCCCTCGCACCCAGACTTCCGCAGATTCGATTCAATCTCGATGCTCATCCACCACGACATAGGCCAGCATCTTGCGCCCTCCAGGTAGTGCGAGTCTTCATCCATGATGAACACAGTTCTGATGGAAACCCTTCCGCATCCTTCGCTCTCTCAACCCGAACTCTGCCCCGTACCAACTGATTCTACTTTTCAGAGCCCGCCCATGACTTCCTACTGCCTACGTCGTCCAGCAATGCCATCAGCTCGACTTATTCACAATCTTTACACATTATTACAAACTGTTGGAATACTTGAAGAGGTTCTGATCACCAGCTGCAGCGATGAGAGCTTCAGAGCTGCCATAGCTTACCGATCGAAAGGCTTCCAGCTGGAATCGATTGCATCAAGATCGTCGAAGTGGTAGTGACATCGGTAGAGTCAATTCGTCACTTCACCGATACTGTTGCGAACCGAACGGGATGACGGCTGACTGTGCTCGTTGATAACGCCGACGTCAGCACTGGTTTGCCCCTTCCCCGACGCCCCTCCGGACGGTATGACAACATCTCGGTCAAGCATAGCCCGTTCATGCGTGTAGGAGGAGTGAAACCAAGACTGGGAGGAATACTTTCTTCGATAATGGTATAGATTGTTGAGTTGTGTTCCCCACGCGGTCCAACCCCACATCAGAGCGAGCATTTTCATATACCATCGAACTGCATATCGGCTTTGACGAGTGGTCCTAAATTCAGGAATCCTATTCGCTCGGTCACAGGCACAAATCCCAAAGGTGCATGATTGGCATTTTGGCCCGTTGTAGGAGCTTAGATGAACGCCCAACGAAGAGCAGGGGTGAGGCGCTAGATATGCACCGCCACCGCGTGACCTGATGACCTTGCCTGGCATCGACGCTTTCTCGTCACCTCTAGCCACAGGTGCTTGCGCTCCCGATTTTGTCGGACAGTACACGCTTCGAGCAATAACCACCAGAGAGACTCCCATCGGAGGTCGCTGTGCTAGGTTTTATCATTTATTACTTGCCCCTAATCACGAACATGGCCCTCCAACTACCACGCAAAGAGAACAAAAACCAACAAGACGTGGATCCCACGGAGTCCCTGACAAAGGCATTAGCCAGTTTCAAGCAGGTTTTAAAAACTGAGCAACGGAAAAAGTTCGAAGATAGCACGACAGTCCCTGATGCGGGGAGTGTCCTGTTTTTCGTCGCCCAGCTTGATGCTGAGAACGCGAGCAAGACCAGGCGAAGCATCGCCCCTCGACTATGTACCTTCCTGACTGCAACACAGCAGTTTGCGGGGGCTGTGGAAACATTCGTCAGCTCCCATCCGGAGACGGCGGCCTTGATTTGGGGTGGAATCAAAACCGCCATAACCGTGGCCAGCAACGTCGCCTCTTATTTTGACAAAGTCACCAACATGATCAAGGACATCGGTATTACCTGCCCGACCATCCAACAATTTGGCCAGCTTTACCATGGACATGTTGGTCTTCAGCGTTCATTGTGTGACTACTATTCCGTGATAATTGAGCTATGCAGCAAGGTTATTGAGGTTTCTCGCCGACCAGCAGCCATTCGCACCTTCATCTCGATTTGGAATCCCTTCGAATCCGAATTCAACCCGTGCTTGGAGCGACTGGCTTCATCCAAGGACCAAGTGATGTTACAGATCTCTCTTGCCTCAGAAATGGCTGCCCACGAGGCCAAGATGTTGTTAGAATATGAGAGCAAGAAAAACTCCTCGCATAGAGCCTCTGCTTTGAAATTTTTCAAGCGTTCAGCACACCACCAAGAAGAGGCGAGGCAGTGGCAGATCAACCAGACAAAGCGAGAAAAGGCGGCCTTGAAGATCCAAATCCGACAGAATCTGTCCCCGGTCGACCACATTCCACCTTGGAAACGAATTCTAAAGCAGCGAGTCCAATCGACCGCCGAGTGGGTACTGCATGAAGACGCATTCCTTGAATGGAAGGCTAGTCCAGAATCATCAATCCTTTGGTGCTCTGGGACGATGGGCATGGGGAAGACTGTTCTGATGTCTAATGTGGTCTCTTTTCTACATTCGGCACGACGTGAAAATGATTCTGTTGCGCATTTCTTCTGTCAAGCAGACAATCAGCCATCTCTTTCGGCGCGAAACATCGTCGGTAGCATTTGTCGCCAGCTGCTTGATTCGTTGATTGAGGGCAGCAGTCACAAAGATCTGCTCTCGATTGAGCACGACTGTGAAGGTTTGGACACGAATGAAACCATACAATTCCTCCTCTCGAAAATGGTCAAGGAGCGGATGTACTATATTGTCCTTGATGGAATAGACGAGTGTGAGATGGCTCAGATTCGAGAAATGGCAAGGGCTTTGGAGATGCTCTCCCAAGGAAAGTTGGGGACGTTGAAGATTATTTGTGCAGGTCGTCCGGGCCTTGAGGTGGATTTGTTCAAGTGGCGCCGGCCACAGCATCGCGTTGTGATTGATCAGGGGAAGCTCAACGTCGATATGGAACGATACATCGCTGCAACCCTATATGATTGCTTGGAGGATGGGGAGCTGGTCCTTCAAGATAAGGATATCATCACAACGATCGCGGATGCTTTACTGGAGGGCTCCCATGGAATGTAAGTATAATATCCAAGGACCAGCCAAGGTGTTGAAGTTGAAAGCTCTAATCGGATCTCACTTAGGTTTCTTTGGGCAGGTCTATGTATCAGAGATCTGTGTGAAAAGAACTGCGATGAAGACATACTTGATGCGTTGAAGCACCTTCCGCGTGGTTTGGCTGAGCTTTTTGACTCAAAGATTCGTCGAATCCAGCAGGGAAAGGATTCTCACCATGCAATAGACTTGCTCCAATACTGCGGTGTGGTGAAGCGCCCACTGACCATTGAAGAATACCGGGAAGCTTTAAGCATCTCCCTCGGCGATAAGTCTCTGAACACAAAGCGGCTACCCAATGATATGAATCGAATTGTCCGTGGATGTTTCGGCTTGACATTCATTGATGACGAAGAGCATACAATTCATTACACCCATCATAGTGTCAAGGAACATCTCTTCCACACTAAGAACAAGGATCCCGCAAACCTTGACGCCAAAAAAGTCAATGAGCACTTCGGCGTTTTGTGCATGACGTATCTGAATTTCACCAATTTCAGTCGTCAGGTAGTGAAGGCTGAGGAAGGACTCATGATTGATCCTCTCCTTCTTGGCGCACTTTCTATTTCCAGTAGAAATAGATGGATACCGGAGGTGCAGTCATCCTGAAAGAGGCGGTCATCACGCATCAACGTTCGAACAGCTCTAGAGTCGCTTGGAGACCCTAAGTATCATAAATCCTCTTCAACAGACGCGATGCAGAATGGCGCCTTTCTTTCTTATGTCAGAGACTATTGGTTTCTTCACATGAATGACATTGGACCATATGACCACTCAATGTGGACTCTTTTCTGCAAATGCATTGAAGATAGGTCCCTACCTTTCAGCCGACCTTGGGACCCGGCGTTACCAGGTGGAACAGTTGGCGAAAATAAATTTTCACCTACCATGAGACTCCCCGATTACATTCACGAGTCCCTTGGGCCTAATGAGCAAGAGCTACGGTGGGCGCTGAAGCACAATCACTATGCCTTATTTCGATACTTGTTGAGGATGAGGAATCACACGATGCCAATAGTGGAATTCCATCCATTCCCAGACATGCAGGATGAAACCAGTTATCGATGGCTAGAAGTCCTTATTGATGTCCCCGGTTTCACTAAAGCCTGGGGTGAGGCTTTGTTCATGGTGGCCTTAGGTGAGGGACTTCCCGAAGCTGAGAAGCTTCAAGTTTGTCTCAGATTGCTTCGAAAAATGCGCCAAGTCGATGAATTAGAAGTCAGATATGCCCTTGGAATAGCTTTGCGGGACGCGTTCGTTTCCCAGGAAATGCTGGGGTTTCTGTTGTGGGTTGACAAGGAATTCTACCCAGACTCTAGAGCCGTCAACGACACGCTGGATCATACCGAAGCCTACGTCTATCTCGATAGGTACCTCTCTAAACATGGTTATAGAGCTCCCTTACTCATTTTATCATTGCTGAATGAGCCAAGGTGGCCAGCAAAAGAGGTATTGCAAACGGTGAAAGACCTTGTGGCTTCCGGTGCGGATGTCAACTTGAAAGACGAGAAAGGGGAGACAGCTCTCTACAAAGCTGTGAGAATGGAAGAAAATGGACCGGACATGATTGAATGCCTCATTAGTGCCGGCTCGAAAGTCAATTTGCCAAATGACAATGGGCAAACAGCCCTTTATATTGCTGTGTTGGCACGTTAAAAAAAGAATGTGGAGCTTCTTGTTTCTGCTGGTGCACTTGTTAATCTGAAAGACAAGGGAGGCGAGACAGCTCTCTATAAGGCTGCAAGAATGGAAGAAAATGGACCGGACATGATCGAATGTCTTATTAGTCCTGGACTGCAAGTCAATTTGGCAGATAACAATGGGCAAACAGCCCTTCACATTGCTGTGCGGGCATCTCGAAAAGAGCATGTCAAGATTCTTATTTCTGCTGGTGCGCTTGTCAATTTTAAAGACAATAAGGGCAATAGCGCTCTTCACGAAGCCGCAAAATTGCTATCATCAGGATTGAGCCTCGGCATGATGAAATATCTTCTCACCGCCGGTGCTGACATCAACTTGGCAAACAAGAAAGGCGAAACAGCTCTTTATATAGCCATGTCGATGTACTCAGATGCCAGCGGGATAGACGAGATTGCGACTATCGCTAATGAAAACACCAATTCGCAAGGGATACCTTCTCTATCAAACTTGGGTGTGCACCTCGCCGACTTTGCTCAGTCAAGTCAATGGTCTGCCGTCAGATTATTGATCAGGAGTGGGGTAAATGTGAATATTCGAGGGCTAGCCTTCGACAGAATAGCCCTTCATTGGGCGAGTCAAAAGAACAAAAAGGACATAGTGAGACTACTTGTTGAGCATGGAAGTGACCCAAACACACTCGATAACTTTGGCCAAACAGCATTACATTATGCTGCGGAAAACGGATTTGACGACGTAACAGCCTATCTACTGAAGCTAACAGATGCTTCCATTGTCGATACCAAGAAAAGAACAGCTCTGCGATGCGCGAGGGATAATGGCCACGCGTCCACTGTGAAGATTCTACTACCGTTTGCTGGTCCTAGCGATGAATATGTCGACAGTACAGGGAAAACACTGGAAGAATGGAAGCGTTTGTTGGTGCTTGATGCGGTTGGAGACTCTTAGGTTTCTGCGAATCATGGCCTGTACGTGTAATGAAGAAATCGTCTACAGCCACCCCCTCATTTCGATACTACCCTCCATGCTTGTCATGCCTGAACCTGAGAGTTTAACGGAACACGCTATCATCTGATATGTGCGTATGCTACCACCACCTAACCGGGTCTGGGGAGATTGTTACACTCTGGAGTACTCCGGGATTTGGCCATCTTTTTTGACCATGGAGAATCTAGACATATCGGCAACACTAAAAGTTTTACAACTTCTACTAATCTACCTGACCAAGTCCGACAAGCAAGTGAAGTACAAAAATACCAAATCCAAAAAAAAAGACAAAAACATACAACAGAAGGGATTCGCTGGTGGTCACCCACCCAACTACTAACCTCCCGGCGTGTGGCTTGAGTACGGCTGAGCGGACGGGAAGCCCTATTTTCCACACCCTGTGGTCGTATGTACTCAGTGATGTGGTGGAGCAGTATATATGCATGTAAAAAAAGGAGGTCATCCTACCGGAGGGGAGAGCTACTCCAGGCTGAGATGCACTGAGTCAGATCTCACCCGATCCATATGCTAGGTATGTGATTTTACTGGAATCCCAACCTCTACTTTATTCTTCATTGATATACTGATTACTGTTGAATAGTGTACTTAAGTCGCTGAGCCATTTGAAAGCGGATGCCAACATATCGAGTCCTCATGCATCAAGAAAAGCGTCTGTCGAGTGAGTGACCCATGCCCCGAACCCGCCGAGTCGACGGTGGAAATCCTAGCCATTGTGTATGGTCCGGAAGAGGTGCGCGATAAAGTTTATGCCTCTTGTTACTCGCAGCTTCAAAAGGAAGAGAAGATCCACTGGACCAACGAGAACTTCGGCGGCGATACCTGGGTCGGGGAAGCCAAGACAGGCACGATCTACTATGCAACCGATGGTGGCTCGAAAGTGGAGCAGTGCATGGGTCGGGAGAACCAACGGACTGAGTGGGAGGTTTGAATTCAGACCGGTGACTAGATGGGAGGTGAATTGCTGTGGACCTGGGAGATGCAATCGAAAAACTGCATCAAGCATCGCTCGAGGAGCATCAACCTCTACTCCCATCATCATTACCTGCCATGATGCACTGACTAGTTACTCCTTGTAGTAGCCTATCAAACTCTTGTGGATATAAAAGTCCTTGTATTCACGATTGGCAGCGAGCAAACCCAAGATTCATTAGGCTACCTAGGTACCTAATCAGGTAGTACCAAAGAGCACTCCAGGCTGAGGAAGAGCAGGCGGGCTTATCCGCTTACCAGATAAGTTAGCTCTGATTGGTCACGGGTGACCGAGAAACCTCCATCCCGATGGACCACAAAACACGTGCCAGTGTACAAGATTGGAGGTTCAAAACAACCATGACTGAAATCAGTGCTTTGCCCTCCGAAATCCTCTCTTCGATTCTGACAAAATTAGGCTCAGCCTCTTTAGCTTCTTATGCCAGTGTCTGTAGAAAATGGCAGGTGCTGATTGAGAAGCAGACCTTCTCCCATCTTTTTCTAACTTCTGACCGGTTGGGTGACTTCAAACGGATTATCTCTTCTAGTTCACACCGGCGCTGCTTTATTCGTTATCTGGATCTGTACATTCTGCTTCCTGCCTACGAGATTGCTGCACGGACCCAGTTGGAAAGCCAAATAGATCGCCAGAAAAACAATGAGGCCTTCACCCAGACCATAGTCTCTTTCTGGGATATTCTGAGTACATGGTCTGAAGAGGATGTTGCAGGACTTTCGCTGAATATACGTGCCAGATCTTCTAGCGATTGTGGTGCCGAACCCGATGAAAAAAAACGTATGGCTCGTCGGCGATGGGGCCGCAAATTCCCTAAGAAGGACTGGTTGGACTGGAGATTCTATCAATCCTACCTGGAGTTGATAACAAATCCGACTATATTGCCCGAGCTCAGCTGCGTGACGCATTTCATAGTTACATGCCGTGGTCACCGTAAGATCGCCCCAGCGACAGTCTCCAAGTTGTTATCGCGGCTTCCTGGGGCGCAGATAGTTTATGCAAGCCTGTCAGACAATGAACGAAAAGATCCAACGCTGCGGGATCAACTCCGGAATGGTACTGTACCTAATTCTGACCTCTATGATTTACTTAGGCTGAAATCAAAAACTCGCGTTGTTAGAATTTGCCCTCACCGTATCGAACTGGCCAAGCACTATTAAACACCTTTGTTTAGAATATCCGGGACTTCCTCCAGCAGATGGACATTTCCCCCCTTTTAGGCGGTCGGAGCCTTGGGCTGACCCGCTCAGCCTTGCTCTCAACCATCTGACGCAGCAGCTGGTGACCGTCGAGATTGACAAGATTATGATCGGCCCTGAATTCTTCTGGCCGCCGCTGCACCCTTATTCAGCACCGCCCCGATGGCCACGGCTCACCTCATTGAAACTCGTCTACCAAGCGGTGACGCCATCAGGACAGTGGCTGTTCGAGAAGGACCCCCGCTGTCAACCGTATAGTTTGTCTCAGTGGGAAGATGTCTACGAGGGAACAAGGGAGGGCCCCCGAACTCCGGCTCCCCAAGACCGGTACCCCGACGCATTTCGGAGTAAGCCGGCGGATCTCCTCAACGACCTTCATCTAGCAGCCGGCCAAGCGGCCCAGCATATGCCTGCTCTTAAGACTATGTTTCTGCAGGCCATCCCCCAGCTATATCCCCCTGGGATGGCCCATCTCCATTTCGAGGCGGCCACGGAGAGTCATCCAGCGCCTGCCCACGACACCGGCCATTGGTTCCGATACGATCGAGGTCGCTCCACGGCTACGTGGGTCAGCAGTGGAAAGTTCTCTCTGTTGGCGGACACGGTGAATACTTGGAGACAAGTCGGTGCGTTACATGGGCATGCGGATTTCAATCTCGAGGTAGGTTTTATTCCCCTCGACTGATTTTCGGCCTTTTGAGCTTCGGCAATAGTGTGGTGCTTTCATGATTCAGGGTAACTAACTCATTGCCCGTGCTTTGCAGAACATTAGTCTCCTTGGCTGCCATTGCGACTGGACGTTTGACAACCTGGTGCGGGAAGGTCGTCTGGAGCAAGAGCCGGGATATGTGAAGTGGCCCATGCCCTGAAGTATGGTTGTCTGGTCTTGTTACTCATGTGTCTTCTCGAGTATTGAACATACTATCCTTCACTGAGCATATTCCATGCATTCCAGTTTGGAATTCTCGGTGACAGGCTTCCTTGATAGCCTGTCATGTGACTGTTCACTGTTGCCTCAGGCATCAATAGCACTACGTATTTATTTAACTCAGAGCGCAGGCCCGCAGGGCCTTCTTCTTCTCTTATATTAAGTTCAGATACTACAGCTTCTATTAGGATTAAATATATACTAAATATATTTCATCTTACCGGCAGTATTGAGTTCCTGGGGTACTACGAGTATGTTAAGTAGAGCCCACCAGAGCGCTTTAGCGCTAGCTCTAGTACGAAGCGTGTGAGGCCTCAGGCACCATCTGCTGCCTGAAGCCGAGCTCTATACTAGGGCCTTGGTCCCATAACAATTATAGTAGTGATGCAGCAACTATAACAGTAGATCATACTAGGATAACAGGGTAGACCCGACCGACTGCGGGCGGTGACCCTTGATCTTGACCCGGAGGACCAGGACCGGAGCGGAGTATCTTCGAGCCGGATGTTTCAACAAAACGGAATCACGTGGTACTCACCCACCAAGCCCCCTCTTACCAGATAATTATATAGGATAATTGGTTGAAAGAGGTGCAGGTTCAAGAAGAACAATTTACAGAGAACTTGCAAAGTCTTGCCTCTCCTCAGCTGTTACGACTGGACCACTTCTTTCTCTGATGATGGCATGCAGAAGGGACCCATCCGGCATACCTTGTTAATAGTCTCCGTTTCTCCCATTCTCGATCTGATTGATTTCAGTTAAGAGTTAAGGTTACGAGATCTTCAAAATTCTGCTAAGAAATAATATTTTCGTCCCAACTGTACATGACCTAATGCTTACAGCTTAGGTCTATGAGCTGAATTTGGAGAGTCCGGGGTAGGAATGGCAGTCGTGCAAGGCGCTGTACGAGTCATCAAGCGCGAAGCACGTAACAGCTAGGCGACCGCCGATGATTACCTATTCTCGACTCCCTCTGCCCGTCCTCCCATTGCCTAGCTAAACTCATTGGCTTCAGGGCCCCTGGAGAACGGCCCGTTTCAGAGGCTAGAGTGCGCACAAGCCCAGCCCAAAATCCCCTCTCCTCAGAGTGTAGGTCAAAGTGCATGTCGCATATAGAAGGTGCGGCAGCTGTGAGCAGGCTCAGTACAGAGGATTTCCCTGGAAGCATGATATAGTGTGCTTACAGAGTATTTTTTGCTCTGTTCTCTGCCTCGATGCAACCGAGAGATGTCTCAGCACTCAGGCTTATTGAGTTGGTGTAGGGCGGACAACTTCATCGGCGGTCGACATTTCCGGCGTTAAGATGTTCTCAGATGGCTGTGGCCGAAGTACAAATAATCACCACGAGGAGAGCATCTAGAATGGAAGCAAGCAGACACGCTAAACCGCAAGGGACAGTAAGACTTCAGCATGGCCGGCCCCTTAATGCGGCAATGAAGATCCCTTACCTAGTAGCATGATTGGCGGAAACTGCAGGGAGCAGCCAGTAAGTTCCCCATAACGTTAGCCTTGACTTCATCAACCTCAGTGCTTCGGATATCCCTTCGATACTCTGGCAGAATAGAAACGAGAGATGGGATTCGGCGATTGTAACCAAAGCACTAGATAGAGCTGCGCCTACCCTTGGGGCCAGGTTTCTGGCGAGGCCTTGACTCGCGATCAGGCAGAGACGGCGCCGACACGTTCAACTCATGCTTTAGTTTCGTGACCTTTTTCTCCACGGATATCTCCGCCTCGATTCCCTGGTCCTCGATCTTATGCAAATACTGCTGCGCTTGCTCTTTCATTTCGTCCAGATGCCGTTGGGCTTGTTCTTCCATTTCCTTCATGCAGTCGTTGGCGGTAATGCGGACCTCGGTGTTACCATCCTCCACCTGGTCGCGGAACTCGGTCTCGTGAAGGTGGCATTCATCCAGGAACTGGTCCCGGCACTCGCTTACAGCGCTATCGATGATCGCGTCGAGGATGTGTGGTTCGATGAAACACTTGATCTTCTCCTCGACGATGCGTTCGAGGCGGCGTTCCATGGATTCCACCCGGGCAGAAGGAAATTTCTCGGAGTCAGACAGCAGATGATCCTCGGGATCTCCAGGTGTAGCCTGTAGGCATCGACTTGCTAATCGAACCAATAGTTTGCGGATCAGGTCAGCGGAAGCACCACTGAGCATATGTTCAAGACGTGCAAGTGTGTCACGCTCTGTACGGCTTGCAGAGGAACGGCGTGAGAACTCGGTGGGCCGGATTGAGGCCGGTGACGGAGGGAGAGTACTCGGTGTATTGACCTCGGTGGGACAGCAGGGCGGTTCCGGGGAGGTAAAGAGCGGTCTCTTTCGTCTGTCATCCTCGGATGATGGTATTAACGAGTGGTCTATATACGATCAACAACGCTGTTGTACAAGGTTTAAAATACAAAGGACTACTAGATGATAGAATACCTCGGGCCCGTTTCCCGCCTACATGCGCTGACTTGGGTTCCTCATTATATGGGGGTGGATCCACTTGCTTGACCTGCTCGGGCGCAGGCTCCTCATAATCTGGCGGTCGCTCAAGCGACACATTCAGATCCTTCCAGACTCTCTCGACCAGACCTTGGCGAGAGTCATCAAAAGATACTGCTTTAAGGCTTCTTGTCTGAAGGCCACGGACGAAAGTCTTCAAGATCCCGAGTTCACTACCCACGAATTGTCGCGCGGCAAAGTGGATACGTAGAGAAGCGAATTCACAAATCCTTGCAAAAGCAGCGAAATTCCAGTCCCCATGAGTCGCAGGGGGTACAGACGACATCTCAGATGAGCAAAGAACCGTCCCCTCCGCGGGCGCCCGGTTAAGTTCCAATGTCAGTGTTGAGACGTCTCGAATGTTTTTCACTCTTGTCGGAAGCTTCGAAGCAAAGTAGTCGGAACAAAGTGTTTCGTCGCTTGCTGAGATTAGGCTACATGTCTTGACTGACTCGGGAGGGATTCTCAATATCAGCGTATCTTCTTCACCGCTCGGACGATTCGATAGATTTGCCCTGATACTGAGAGAAATGCATCCTTGGTTAGTGATTTTATCATAGGCAAGACGAAAACCAGCAACAGAGGGATTCTCGCGAGTGGATGAAGAGACCAGAACGGCCTTCACGCGTGTGGCCTACGGCGGATTTGTCGATGCTGAATCGGTCATGTTGCTGTCGTTGCAAGATAAATCAGATTGGAGACGAAAACCCTCGAAGAATCGAGTTTACCCTTTCCCACCCAGGCTTTGAAAAGCAAGTGAGCAGCCCTGACTCATAATACGTGCATGAAATCAAGAACGAGAATAAGAGGCATAAAGGGAGTAAAAGCGTCTTGCGGCCTGGTCACGAGAACGTGCCCAATCTGAAGTCAATAGATGAAATCAGAGAGTCCTATGAAACCACAGGAATGGCAGGCCTGGCGGCGAGAACAGCAAGCAGCAGATACTTCCTTTATGTGGGGTGGATGTTGCCAAGTGAGAGGATGAAGGTGAGATGGGGAGAAAAGGAAAGATGGAGAAGCGCCCGGGGGAGCTGGCGACGGAACTGACGGAAGCGGATTTACAGCTGTTCCGGCGCAGAGTGGGACTTCCCGCTTACATCATTATGGATGCCTTGCGCACGGACCTTCCGTACCGCATCAAAATCCGGAATTGGAATCCGGCAAGCGGCCAGACCATGATCGATCATGGCCTTGCTTATGGAGTAGTACATGGTAGTATCCACGGCCCAAGTACAATTTGGGTATCATTATGCGATGCGCACCAGCAGCATTTCGATAGAATACATTATGTAGTAGTCATAAGCCTGGATCCTGATCCGAACTTGAACCGCTCTCAACTCTCTCATCGAATCGGAGGATAATCATCAAGTTCATGTCGCCCGCTTTTTATCAGCAGTATAACAAATAAGTCCCACGTAATGATGTACACCGAAAGAGAAAGAAGAGTAAGAGATAGAACCCGAGAATGAAAGGTTATCGATAGCCCGGTCGTTGAATCACCCCTTTCGCATCGACAGGAAGGTAGGCCCCGCCGCGGCGGTCACGCTCGCTCAGAATCGCCTGGTCGGCTCGAACCCACTGCTTGAAAGGGGTGTTGGGGTCGTCCGACCAGACCGGTGCTGTCGGACGGAGATGGCGGAGGGACAGGAACCAATTCTCGTTGATCTCTTCATCATCAGTGTCACTCTCCGCCTCGGATACGGTCTCGGGCTGCGCTGGCGGTCGAGTAGTAGGCGGCGGGGACGGCGGTTCGTCGCCTAGTTCGATGCTGGCGGTCTCGTGGTGTTCCCCAACGTCCATGGAATCATCGTTTTCTTCGTCCTCCTCGGACTCGGACTCGGTCGTCGCGTTGGGATCGGCTGGGCCCGCAGTCTCGATCTCGGAGTGTATTTCTGGAGATACTGGTGCCTGCTCGGTTGAGCTAGCTTTGTCGTCTGTATCGTCGAAGAGCAATAGCTCTACTTCGCTCTCCATAACAATATCTGAGTGCTCGGCCGGTTCTACTAGAGCGTGTTCAGCCGAGCTGGCTGCGTGCTTCGCCAGGACAAAGGGCAGAATCTCGGTATCGCTCTCCATATCAATGTCTGAGTGCTCTGCTGGATCTGGCAAAGCTAGGTCGGCAGCGCTGGCTTCATCTTCTACAGAAACAGAGTGCACCTGCTCAACATAGCTCTCCACATCAGCATCGGAGAGCTCTTCTGACTTAACTGAACCATTTACATCGGATCTCACTTCGACCGCAACCATGGGGTAGCGCGGCGCCTCGTCCGCGCTCTCAGTTTCAGCGTCCGAGGGCTCCGGTTGTTCTACCAGAGGTTGCCTGGCAGATACAGCTTCATCCATTGCAAGAGATGAATGCAGATCTTCGTCCGCGCTCTCAGTCTCCGCGTCCGAGGGCTCCGATTGTTCTAACAAAGGTTGCTTGGCAGATACTGTTTCATCTCCTGCAACAACAGTGTCTAGCTCAGCCAAATTTATTGCATCCGCCTCTTGGGCAGGCACATCATTGGTGCCTCCAGCAAAGGGCTGGGCGGGCACTACCCCATCCTCTGCAACAATAGAATGCAGGATTCCTGCTGAGTCCATTGCTCCATTTTCTTGACCAAAAGTGTCTTGGATGTCTTGGATGACCAATTGGTCGTGTTCTCCCCGTTCTTCGGAGGCCCGACTTCTGTGATCAACTGTGGGAGTGTCTTGATTAATTGGCGCATCTTGTTCTTCCGACTCGGAGTTATTTAGCTCCCCTGCTGCACTATATGGCAAGTGCTGCCCCGTCGACTCATTATGCTCTTCTGGTTCGGGAGACCTAGCCTGGTCCTCTGCAAGAATGGCCTGTGACTGTTCCGCTAAGTCCAATGGCGCAGTTCCATGGCCATCAGGATCTAGCGTGTTTAGAATCGACGACTGTTGACTTTCTACTGTCATATCGACATCTTGGCTTTCTTGGTCAGGTGTGCCGTGGGATTGTGTTTGACTTTGTTCCCCCGCGGCCATAGGTCCTGCTTGGTCCACCGCAGCGACGGGTTGAAGGTGCTCCGCTGAGTCAATATCCTCGGCTTTCTGGCCGACTGTGTCATGTATGTCTTCCACAATCAACTCGTTCTGTTCTTCCAGAGTAATTTCCTTAGCTGCAATCACTGATGACGGGTGTTCTCCTGTGTCCGTTTCTTCTGCCCCTTGATTGACGGCGGCGTGGGCGTCTTCAGCAGGTACCTTGGCATGCGCCTCAAGCACTGAAGGTGCTGCGTTCATTGCACTGATCACTTCCAGGTTTTCTTCTGGGGCCACCGGTTCCGACTCTTGGCCAACCATATTGTCAGCATCTTCCATGATCGATCTATCCGGGCTTTCCGGCTCGCCCATTGAAACATCTTGGTTGCCTTCAAGCTCGTCTACTTGGCTGATCACCACATGCTCGGACACTGTCGTCTCAGCAGCTTGGTCAGCTACAGTCTGACTCTTAGTTTGCGATTCATGCTGAGACTGAACAGCGAGGATTTGCTCAGCTAGTATTGGCGTGACATCGTGATCGGCCATCGATCTGTCCTCGACTTGCGAGGCATGCTGCTCGGACTCAACCGCAGGGACTGACTCCGCTGGTGTTGGAGTGGCGTCCCGATCGGCCATCAAATTGTCCTCGGCTTGCGAAGCGGGCTGCTCGGATTCAGCCACTGTCATCGGTTCCGCGGGTGTTGGAGTAGCGTCGCGATCAGCCATCGAACTTTCCTCGACTTGCGAAGCGTGCTGCTCGGACTCAACCACGGTAGTTGGGTCTGCAGGTGTTGGAGCGGTATCTCGATCATCCATGTAATGCTCCCCAGTGTGCTGTTCGTGCTGCGCAGTCTCAAAAGCTGAAACTTGGTTGCCTGGAGTTGGTGTCGCTGCCTCAGATATCTCCCCACTTTTTAGGCCACTAGACTCCAAGATCTCCCCCTTCTCGAAGACGGTAATATCTTCGTGTATGGGGGCATATTCCAGGGCAGACTCGTAAGCGCTAGCCGAGCTTGTAGGTATCACGAGCCGCTCTGCTGACGCAAGGTCAGAAGACGCATCTTCCTCGGGGGGCTTTTGCTCTGTATGCCGTGTCGTATTCCAAGCCCCATCCTGGACGACGGAGTGGGGCTGGCGATGTGGAGTGGGCGACGACATTACAGACGATATATCCATATCAGTGTCGGATAAGGTGGCCTGGCTTCCTAGCTCGAAAGAGTGAGCATGCAAATTAGTGAAGCGGTCCACAAGGCTGCCGGTGAACGAAGTTTCTGGCCTGGTTGGCGAAGCATGTGCAGGAGCAGGCTCCTTCCTGGCTGGGTCATACTGTGCTGCTGCAATTGCAATACCCTGCGCTGTCAGGCTTCGCTTCTTGTAAACAGGTCGGGAAAACGTAGATGCAAAATAGTCCTCGTAATCCATGGACTTGGATTCTGACATCTGGTTTTGCTGTATATAGCCAGGAAACTCTTCGAGATGCTTGATAATGAAGTCATCCCATAGAAACGACCGTTGCAGGTGGCCCTTGGCTCGCACAGCGTGAAGCTTAGAGCAAAGCTTGGTGAAGTGATGAAAGTCGCCAGTATAGTTTGGATAATTACGACAGAACTTGCCATAAGTCTGCTGAGCTTCCCAGCTATCAGCGGGATTGCGGGGACTCTGTGGATGCAATGCGCTGGAAGTTGGTTCATGAGCTGTCTCAGGCGGCTGCGTTCGAGGTCGTTTGGATGGGCCACTTGCCTCGTTTTCGAGAGCAGACGCAGGCCGTTTCGAGACCACTCCCACGGAATGCCTGTTTGACGATCTCTGTGCCAGGAATTCGGAGCTAGCTCCTTTTTGACCACTAGTCTCGAGCAGTAGAGATGAGGGCATTGCGACTTCCATGATCACACTCGCTTCACGCAGTCTTGGGGCACTTGAATCTAGAACCATATCCGCGGTAGAACCGGGCGTTGGGTCCTGCGTTGACAGGTCTTGATTGCTCATCTGTGTCCCTGCAATGTCTACCCGGATTTCCGCGTTGGTGCCCCGCGATTGATCATTTGAAAGGATTTGAGAGGAAGACCCTTTGTCGGTGCTACTCCCAACTGAATTCAGAATTCGTGACTGAGACGAAGATTTGTCTACACTGGGTGAATGGGTACTAAAGGGCTGCATTTCCGGGGCTTTGCTACTCAGTTCGGGCTGAGAATGGCGGAACCGTCCAAGGTTTGTCTCGGGAGTATCAACGACCTGCACCTGATCCTGTGTAGCGGGCGCAGGAAGAGACGGACCTGAGCTGGTTATCTCCCGCTCCGACTGAGTGAAAAACTGCGACTGAGATAATTCAACCCCTAGTGGACAGGGCACAGAGGTATCCATCATGGAGTCATCGCTGTCGCCATCCGAGTCATCTCGTAGACTTTGGGCTCGGACTGGGATGCTTCGCCTAGCAGGATGTATATCTGTTTTGGCCCTGCCAGCAATGCCCCCCGGTTTCTCAGATATCGTGCTTAGAGCACGCTGATCGGATTCTGGAATAGACTCCTCGGTCAGACGATCAGCTTGCACTTTGGGTCTATCTGCCACCGGTACATTGCGCCCTAGCCTGCGCGGGCTCCCTCTTATAGGGCTACTGTCTTCAGGCAGAGCCGGACGTCGACGTATGGTCTGTTCAGGGGAGCTTTCTGACCACTGCGACGTCAAAGGTTCGCCTTCTGAGTCTGAATCAGCTCGAGGGGTAGGGCTGGGAGAACCAAGTGAAGGCCGTTCTAATGGAAGCGCTTCCGGTGTTGCTTTTTCCAGTGACCTTTCGCTAGCGGCCCGGCTTCTTCGCGTCACAATAGTGTTCCACTGAGCAAGTAGACGAGGTGGTACGTGGCCTTGTGGTTTGCTTTCCCCGGGTAGAGGTGGTATCCAGCGGCGCTTATATAACCCTAGTAAATTCTGTTGGTCCTTGGGTATACGAATATCCCGTTCCTCAATCCGCGTCAAGTCCTTCCAGGGGTCTTCAAGGCAAAGTCCCAGTTTCTCCAGCGGCTGCTTCTCCTTGACTACAGCCCTGTGAGATTGTTGGATCATCTGCAGTGGGGGACTAGTTTGTTTCTCTGTGCCTTTTTGAGACAAACCTGCTAGCTGTGGCAGTCGCTCCGCTTCAAATTCACTATTTGGTGGCGCAGAGTTCCTTGATACTCTGGACAGAGATACGCTGTCCTTGGCGAGAGGAGGCTGCGAAGCCAACCGAAGGAACTGATTGCTCGATGGGCGCGGGACGGGTTGCGCGGCTGCACTCGGCACGGTAGAGGGCAAAGGCGCGATGTCTATATTGACCCTGGCAGGCTCTGCAGTATAGTACCTGGCAGATGGTATGTTTGCCATTGCTGCAGGTACCGCAATTCCATGCTGGTGATTCGGAGTCGGAGGGAGGGAAGGTACGCGCCCCAGTTGATCCGATGGAATATTAGTCCCAGCCCGCTGATCTAGCATTGCAAGTAGAGTAGAGACCCTGGCATCTCTGTCCGGGCGAGGCGGATGCTGCATAGCCTGAGCCTGAGGAGCTGGATATACCTGGGACATGAAGCCATTCTGCGAGGCAGGCATCTGGAACGTTTGATGGGTCTGCGAAGAGAAAGAATCATTACGTCGAGGGGCAGGCGCCATAATATGCTGCAGAGATTGCTTGGCGTCTCTGGACGCATCTTGCATCAACTTATAAACCGGATGTTTCCGAAGGGTCTTCCCCTTTGGGGGTGTCTTGACCCTGGCCGAGCCCCATTCTACCTTGAAACGTTGGACATAGAGATGAACCTTCGGGGTTGCCGTGGTATACTCCAAGACCAGCTCAAAGTCCTCCAGCTGAACACGGTATCCCCGTACCTCCTCTTTGCTGAACGGATGCTGTGGGTATCTCTTCTGATAGTCCTCCAGCGCCTCTCTGGAAAAGATCGCTTCGATTTGGGCATCCGAGTCGGTTACATTGAGTTTGTTAAAGTGTCGGTCTTCCGTACACTGCCGGAACAGTTTCTTGTTAGTGCTGCGGAATTTAAATTTAGGAAGGGGGAGGTGGGCTCACACTGTTCACCAGAACGCTCTTAACGACATGTGTGCGGAAGCGGAGGTTGCTCTGGTCGTTCTCAAAAGGGATTTTGATCGAAGATTTATTCAGATAGGAGCTCAAGAGGCGTTCAATCATCGACGTTATCCATTTCGTCGGGGTATCCATCATGGAGAAGGATACTCGTCTATTGTGCTGCTACAGCAGCGCATAGTAGTCTGGGCGGGGATACAAATCAAAAAAAGAACTGGCATTAGGTGTCTGCATACGGGAATGCTTTAATTATGCAAGCAGCGTGACAGTCACTGATCCGTCCGAATCACTAAGGTCCACAGCAGCAGCCATTAAGCTCATATGAAAATGAAAAGTCGAGAGCAGTACGACAACACCCCCTCTCCTAGAAACCATGCTTTTTTTTCCCTTTCAAATTGATCGCCGTGTAACGCGAGCTTTGCCGATTTGACGCGTCTGACCGCCTTCCATGTGGCGCATACTTATCAGTTGAATCTTACTGTACGTAACTTAAGTTAGTGAGTATGGTACCTTCACCAGCCACAGCCCCTCCCGGTGCCGGTGCCACAAACCACGTCATTGGGCAGCGGCACATGTCATGGGCTTCGTCCCAATCCTTGCGGCTTCTGCTTGTCCCTCCTCTCTGTCTCTCTGTCGCCGAGTCTAGACAATGAATCACCGAATTATCTTCCAACTTCCTCCCGAGTTGCCTTCTCCACCTGTCCCCCCCCCCGTTGTCATAGCAAAAGTCAAAACTTTGCCTTTTGTCTGCCTCTTGTCCCTCGACCGAACGCGAAACTGAATTGTCTGACTGTCTGACTGTCCGACCGACCCTCTTCCCGAGAAACCCACTCGTTATAAACATCTCCAGATGATGTGGAGTCGACCTCTTCATGCATGGATCCTCACCGCACAGACTCCGATCACCGAGCAACCCAGCTCCGCCCCAGCAAGATACTTCGAATGTTTGCCACCCCTTACTCCTCATAAACTTGTGAGGTCGATCCGATAAGCTCCCCCCCGCGGGAGATACTTTTCTCTGTGCCGCCCGTGTGTGTGTAGACGTGACGGAGCTTGGATGGCGTCCCAACGATCCCAGGGGACGTCGAGTCCATCCGCATCGTCGGTCTTTCTTCCTCTGGGTCGCCGAGGCTCTCGAGCATCTATCTCGACGCAGGCTGAACGCGAAAGCCTAAATGCGACCCTCGATCAAATTCATAGCGCCGCCTACCAGTCCGATTCCCTCACCGTCTTCAACGACTTCACTAGTCCACCAGCTCCGACTTCGGTCGTCGACGAGAAGACCTTGTCAGGCGAGCTGCAAGGAGGTTTGAGTGGACTGTATACTAGGTTCCGAACATCAGTGGGTGGGATTGTTGGTGGCGTGGGCAAAACATCGAACAACACCTCGGCCGAAGACTCTGGCCTCAAAAGCCCGCTTCCGTCAGAACGTTCGTTCCCCAGATCGGCCCCGGACTCGGTCGCGGAGTCGCAGCAGTACCATCTGGGTTCAACTCAAGGGTCAAGGTTACACTCGCCGGTGCCTGGAAACCTCTCCGCCCAAAATGGCCCGCCCCCGTCGGGACTGGCGAAGAGCTCCAAGGTTTCTTCCAAGACAACGAGTATATCCTCAAAAGCTTCCATCTTGCCACAACCGGCCTTGAAATCTCCCGTTCCGCCCTTGCCAAAGACCACAGGCAGTGCATTGGCTGTCGACCCTACAGTCACGGAAATTCATGTCAACGCTGTCAAAGAACCACCTCCTCATTCAAGTAATGCATCAGCCAACTTCTCTACCAACAGTTTGCAGACAGTTGACTCCGCTGGTACAGACAAGGAAGAAGGTCCTCACACTGCATCTCTAAGCTCGTCAGGCTGGAGCCAACGTCTCCCGAACTCCCCGCTTATGCAGATCAAGTCGCATTCTAGTGCCTACGATGGCCCGGAAATTAGCAGATCTTCCACAACGGGCAGTCAACCCCCCGATTATTTCAGAAGGTCGGAGGGACATATAGAAGCCAATTTACCTGGCCCATTGCGTAAGGCTAAGAGGTCGGTTGACCTTGGTCCAGATGGGATATCGTTGCCCCATGAACGATTGAGGTCAAACTCAGCCGCTTCTTTTAAGCCCGAAAGATCAACTGTTGCCTCTGGATCGAGGACAAACAGCGTCAGCCAAGTCTCCAACCACGGCGAAGGATCTCTAGCCGAAGGGAAATTGCCACCGGGCATTAACGTCTCAGTGCCTCTGACTGATGGTAGCTCCCAGTCAAAAGAACCAGCGAAGGCTACTGTCAAACAGAAACCCGGCGACAGGCTCTCTATATCGAGCGCCAGTCGCTTACCCGGCTATGTGGCATCTCAGGCTACAACAGGAGAATCTACCTCTGGGACGCCCATACTACCGCCGTTGAATACGGCCGTTGAAAGAGTTTCTAGCCAAGATGGGCGAAGCCGGCGATCTCACGGTGGAGGCGACGGCGTCATGTCTCAGCTGAGGAGCAAGCTACTCAGCAAAGAGTTTTGGATGCGAGATGAGAATGCAAAGGATTGTTTCCATTGTGGAGAAACATTTTCCACTTTCCGACGCAAACATCATTGTCGGACCTGTGGCCAGATCTTTGATTCGAAATGTACACTTCTCATTCCGGGTGACAGGTTCGGTCAACCCGGTACCATTCGTGTCTGCAAACCCTGTGAGGCTATGATCAATGGTCATGACGATGATTCCTCGGAGTTTTCAGATAGTGAACAAAGCCCTATTGTGATAAATCCTCGGGTTTCTGAGCTTGGTGCAAGTATATACTCACGCATTCCGCCGGATGATGACGACACGTCCTCTATAGTCTCTCAACCCATCGAACATGTCATGAAGACTCCCACTATGGCCATTCCAGCAACGAGACGTGCAGGCGAAGGGCACAACCGCCGCTCTGCCGTTCTCGAGATTAGTCCTGACAGGCCACTGACTAGGCCTACCTCCTCGAGATCCTTGAAGTCTACCTTGAGCGGAAGACCTCATTCTATGGGCCACAAGCGCCATCACTCGCGTCAGCAATATATTCGCAACTTTAAACCGTTTCATGATGATAGAGCCCCATTCCAACGACGCCATGCAGATGACTCTACCCGCGAACAGCGTCTTCCCGCGTTCCATAAAGATAACATCATTGATCCAGACTTGGCGCAGTATCTTTCTGATGACGCCTCCAGCGCTGATGAACAGCCCAACTTATTGTCTGCAGTCTCCGAAGGATCCTTGTCTAAAAGCGGCGGTGAAAGCGAGAGAACCACCTTTGGCGGGCTACTCGCCGCGATGAAAAAGGGCCGGTCTGCTTTCGGAGACCGAAGCACCACGAATTTGAATTTTTCTTACCGTGACGGTGATGAAGGAAGTCTCAGTAGCTCGAGAGCCGTAAATTTGCCCCGGGCTTCTCGGCGTCGCAATTTGAGCGTTGCGAGTAGTGTCCATCAGCGTCATTCCCCGAGAGCATCCAAAGACAGTGTCTTCAACCCACATGAACCGACAAATGTTGCTCATGTCTTTTCCATAGGGATTGCTCCAAGTGGGTTCAAAATGACGAGAAGCTCCTCCATGAGGGGAGCAGGTGCGCCGCCGGTTGAATTGAACAAGGCTAGTCTGCACCACGTTCGAAGACTCCTACAACAACTCCTGAAAGATGCTTCGGTGCCGAATGCGTCAAAGTGGGAAACTGCACTCCTACCGATCCTCTTGAAGGCAGCTGATGAGGTTGTTCCCGATGTGCAGGGTGGCGATGATATGGACATTCGTCACTACATCAAACTCAAGAAGATCTCAGGTGGTAGGCCCGGGGACACCTCATATGTCTCGGGTCTCGTCTTCACCAAGAACCTCGCACTCAAGAGCATGCCTCGAAGCATCCCGCAACCTAAAATCTTGATTATCGCGTTTCCACTTGAGTACGCACGGCATCAACAGCACTTTATGAGCTTAGAGCCCGTGATTCGTCAAGAACGGGAGTTCCTCGAGAATCTTGTTAGTCGCATTGCTGCTCTCCGACCAAACTTACTCCTTGTTGAGAAGAATGTGTCTGGCCTGGCTCTCGAACTGCTGGACAAAGCCAATATCGCCACCGCGTACAATGTGAAATCGTCGGTCCTCGAAGCTGTTTCTCGCTGTACTCAAACGCGAATCATAACTTCGATGGATAAGCTTGTGACCACACCTGTGACGAGTGACTGTGGCAGCTTCGACGTCAAGACTTATGTCTACAATGGCCGGAAGAAGACATACATGTACCTGTCAGGCTGCCGCAAAGAACTTGGCTGTACGATTGTCCTGCGGGGAGGAGACGGAAATGTCCTTGCCAAGGTCAAACGGATCACTGAATTCATGGCATATGTTGTTTACAACCTCAAGCTAGAAACATGTCTGATGCGAGACGAATTCGCGCAGATGCCGTCGTTGCCAGAGACCGAGCCCGACAAGAAAAGCGAACTTGACCGAGACTCTGGCGAGAAGAAATCCAGCAATTCGTCGCAAGAAGCATTGGTGGCTCCTAGCGAGGCCAGCGAAGTACCAGATGATGTTCCCATGCCGACGTACTACGAAGAGATCATCCACGACCACGAAACAAAGATCTTGTCTGCCTCGCCATTTGTCAAATTTGAGCCTCCTTATTTGCTCGCGAGGGCTCGGGAGATGGAGCGCAGACTGGCCTACCTGAAGCGTCTCCGCGACCAAGATCCCGACTCCGGACTGTCCGCAGATGAAAAGGCCAAGGCGCAAAAGTTTATCCTCATTACTCCCGAAATGGTTCATGAGGCACCGCAAGGAGCTCCGCTAAAGGTCAAGGAGGTTTTGCGCGCAGCCCATGATGCTGAATATGACCGAGCGCTTCATCATTATCAAACACAGAAAAGACAGTGGGAGGCTTATGTTGCTGGCAGCGTCGGTCTTTTCGATCCTTATGCGCACCAGAACATCGTCGTTCTGTTCAGCCTTGTCTGCACAACGACATCGATTCCGTGTTCTGGTCCAGATCTTCTCGCCTTGGAATACTACAACGAACATGGCGGTGACGCAATTTTCGAACCGGATTGTACGCTGGGCCAGTATGTAGAGGATATCTGTCTACATGCCAACGCAGTTTGTACTGCGAACGGCTGCGAGAAGAGGATGTTCGAGCACCACCGTCAGTACGTTCACGGCGAGGCCCAGATAAGCATATTTACCCAGCCATATCCCTCGAAGCTCCGCGGCCTTCAGGACACCATTTTGATGTGGAGCTGCTGCAAGATCTGCGGCAATGAAACCCAGGTCTTTCCCATGTCCGAAAGCACCTGGAAGTATTCCTTCGGGAAATATCTAGAGCTTTCATTCTGGAACAAGAATTTGCATGCCCGAGCGGGCGTTTGCCCTCATGACTTGCAGCGGGATCATCTCCGTTTCTTCGGTTTCAAGGATGTTGCCATCCGCATTCACTACGATACCATTAATTTGCTTGAGATCATTGTTCCTCGGACTCGGGTTACCTGGAAAGTGGACAACGACCTCAAACTCAGGAACGAGATCTATCAAAGAATGGAGCAACGCATCAGTAGATTTATGACCTCGGTAAAGGCCAGGTTGAAGGGCATCAACGTTGAAAGCGTGATTCCAAAATTGGCGGAAGACTGCAAGAAGGAGATTGAGAACCTGAACCGAAAGGCAAATGAGGATAGCGCCATGATTGTCAAACAGCTTCAAGAGAAGTACACCAATTCCCAGTACTGGGAGGTCATACCTCTGAATGAAGTCCTTCGAGCGGTCCAGGAAAAGGTTGTTGAATGGGACACTGCTTTCGCCGAATTTGAGAAGAATTTCTTCCCTTCAGAGAAAGATATCCGACGTCTAGCAACTTTGCAACTCAAGAAAATTTTCTTGGATAGGGATGCTACTTCCATCTCCTCCAACGAAGAGCCTCCAACAACCCCAACCGAAACCGAATGCGGACAGAGTCCCGAATCAGAAAAGATCCGTCAAGCACGTCGCATGACCCTTTCCCCCGAGAAGGCTCAGGACGTTCTCGTTTCGGTTGTCGAGGAGCACTCGAACAGAAAGGATGTTGCTCACAGCCAGGGAAGTGACTTAAGCAGAGAGGACATTGACTCCTCGGCTATCTCAACTAGCCCCGTAAGCACACGTTTCTCTCCTCCACAAGCCGAGCTCGCGGCAGAAAAGGAGGTCCAACATCTCGATCTCGCAACGCCATTGGCTCAGCCTGAACCGTCTGCTTTGATGCCTTCTGTGGCAAGCTCTTTGGAGACGGTGGAAACCCATCCTCCTATGGTCATCCCCACAGCGCCAGATGCGAAACCGACGGAGACTCCACCTCCCGATGAATCAAACACTCACACAAGGAAGAAGAGCGAAGACGTATCCAAAGTCACTCCTCCGAGCCGTTTGCCGTCGGCAATTCCACGACCGGCCGAAGGTCTCCTTCGGCGTAGTGGGAAGTCAGCATCTCCGCCTTTGTTCCGCTCTCAAACACAACCAGTTCAGCCGCAAAAAGAGCTAGCGTACGACGGTGTTCCTATCAGGGGCATGAAGCTTGGGCTGGGAAAGTTGAGCCCGCTGGATGGTACGCCCAGTCCTCCCTTAGATTCCAAGTTCAAGCCCGGAGACAAGAAATTGTTTGGCTTCAACGCCATGCGGAACGGGAGGATGACACCTGGGCCATCTTTCATTCCACGCTCAATTCCCAATCGGAGAAACTCGCGGGTCTCAAACCTGGCGAGGCATTTTGAGCAACTGAGCCGAGAGTTCGAAAAGGAACGTCAACGTGAAAGAGCCCAGCGTGCCGCTAAAGGAGCGCATTCCCGGGCTTTCCCTCTGGCCTCCTCCAAGCCCATCGTGGAAGTCTATAAGAACGTCAGGGAAGCAGTAGAGGAGCGGGAGCCATCTGGCGAAGGCGACGAGCTCTTGTCGCGCATTCCTCTGGACCAGTCAAGCAGAAACAGTGAAGACATACTCGGGAAGGAATTGGAAGATGGCAGGAAAGACTCCATTTCTCAGGAGCTTCCTGATACCAAGCCAGGCATCGAGGACGGTACTCATGAGGAGCACAACTTGTCAGACGCTGAAGCAGATGCGCACAGTGATGAAGATAGAGGAGCATCAACCGACGATTTGCAGCGGACCGATTCGAATGACGAGATCAAGGGGTCTCCTGAAGATGAACAAATGGACCTCAAGGAGTTCCCGAAACATGAAAGAAGCACTCTTTTGAAAATGCTGACGAACTTCTGGTCCGAGCGCTCTGCCAGTGGATGGACTCCGCTCGACTACCCACTCACCATGTCCGACCATGTCTTCGCTGATTGTGACATCATCGTTCGTGAGGATGAACCAAGCTCACTGATAGCGTTCGCGCTAGACTCGTCCGATTACAAGGAGAAGCTCACGGCCATTCAGCGACGCTTTGAGGAACCAGAGGAGAAGGGCGCAAGCCCAGAACAGGGCATAGAGGCTTTTGAAGAAACCAGGGTGGAACACGCCCTGCTGCGGTCTACCGGCACGCATCTCAAGTATCAATTTCAAGAAGGCCAGGCCAAGATGCTTTGTAAAATCTTTTACGCCGAACAGTTCGACGCGCTTCGGAGAAAGTGCGGTGTCGCGGAGCGGATCGTGGAGTCCCTCTCCCGTTGTGCCAAGTGGGACTCGAAAGGAGGCAAGACGAAGTCTTTGTTCCTGAAGACCCTTGATGACCGTTTCATCCTCAAGTCATTGTCGCCCATTGAAACCCAGGCGTTCTTGAAGTTCGCCCCTGCATACTTCCAGATCATGTCTGAGGCTTTATTCCACGAATTGCCCTCCGCAATCGCCAAGATGTTCGGGTTCTACCAGGTGATTATCAAGAATCCTGCCACGGGGACGGAATTCAACTGGTTCTTACTGTTGATGGAGAACCTGTTCTACGACCGAGTCCCTACGCGGATCTTCGACCTCAAGGGCTCGATGAGGAACCGCAAGGTGCAAAGCACCGGAGAACGCAACGAGGTGCTTCTTGACGAGAACATGGTCGACTTCATCTATGAAACGCCGTTGTTTGTCCGTGAGCATTCGAAGAAGCTGCTTAGCCAAAGCGTTTGGAACGATACCCTCTTTTTGGGTCGTCAAAATGTGATGGATTATTCTCTCATGATCGCCATCGACGAGAATCGGTCGGAACTGGTTGTCGGAGTCATCGACTGCATTCGCACCTACACGTGGGACAAGAAGCTGGAATCCTGGATCAAGGATCGTGGCTTTGCCGGTGGTGGCAAAAACCGACCTACTGTCACCAGTCCCAAGGAGTATAAGAGTCGCTTCAGGGAGGCGATGGCCCGCTATGTACTTCAAGCACCGAGGTAGGCCACTGTTCACTTAAAACATTCTCGCGGGACGATGCTAATCGCTTAACAGTTGCTGGCACCAATTCCAACAACCCCAGGCCTTCAGATACGCTCCGGTCGAGCACTACCCGAGCCAGGCCAGTCACTCAGTTATCGACGGTGAGACCGCTGACGAAACGCCACACTGAACCGATCTGCCAGCTTCCTAAGAACGGCAACACTTATCTATTTGCGCATCCCCTTCTTTATGAACATTACCACCAGCATGCATACATACATAACGGACACGACGATACGACACGAAGTGATGTATAAAAGAACCGACGTTCCTTCTTCGTTACTTACTGCCTTCTTTCCGCATTGACCTACTTTTTGATTCAATTTGCTATGATATGTGAGCGACTGAGCATGGAAAACACGAAGCGGCTTTGTTTGCATTTGCATATAAACCGAGCTCGCCCCAAGCGGGCGACTTCACTCGGTCCCTCTCCTTAATGTAATAATGGAACTTGATAGATTAGCCAGCGACCAGCTTGGGCATGATCATGATCATTGAATGAAACATCACTATCTACCATAGGATTAACATAGTATCCTAAATCCACGTACTATACTATGACAAGAAGACTGAAGAATCCCTTCACCGGTGATTTAGTATTTAGTAGGTAGTTCGCATCAACCCCAACCGGGCCCCGGGCCGGGCCAGCAGCAAAATTTACAGTGAGCGCAACCAAAACTTCCGTTCTCCCGACTTCTCCAACGGTGCGCAGGCGCCTTTTACCGGCTGATCCCGGGAAAACTCGGGATGCATCGACGCGGGAATTTGATTTGCCCCTCCACCACCCACATGCAAGGGGAACTTTTTCTTTTTTTTTCTTTTCTGGTGCGCAGTTTGCTCGCATTGCACCTTTTTATTCTTTAAGATCTTTCTCCCCGTTGTTGTCTCGTTCACCTCGTTTTTGCTGCTGGAATTTCTGGGTATGGGTCGTGTGTTTGCATGTCCCCCGGGGCGCGTACACCACCACCCGTATACTCAGACTCATACTAACCAACATCCCGAATGTTTCCTTGGGAGCTGAGGATAGATGCAATTGGGAAAAGTGAGCCTCGGTCTTTCGGGGTAATCGGTTTTCCATAATTAAACAAACCCCCCCCTCCCTCCCCCAGCTCTCGCTCCTTCCTTCCCTCTTGTGCTCCCCGCAAGGTCATCTTTCTTTTCTTAACTTGCAACTGCTACCCTCCTGCGGTGTTTCCACTCTTCACACTGTTCGCACTCTTCGCAACGCTTCGGGTTATTACCTGATTAAGAAGCTGGCGTGAGATGCAGCGAGCGTGTTTGCTGCCCTTACTGAATACTAACCCATAGTCAGGTTGGATACGACCAGCTTGGATACTAACACATACGCAGCTAGATCCACTACAAGGAAAGAAGAATGCATCATACTGAAGCAGATCAATTATTGACATGTGCAAGAAGGAATTCATTAATTTTAGCTTTTTGGGGATCGCAGCATCTGGAGCAAAGCGAAAAATACCACCCGAATATGAACTGGCTAAGATTTCGATCTGGTCAAAAGAGATGGCAGGCAGATTACAACTGATACCTCCAGTTTGGTTCCCACTCCAGTGCGCGCGGGCGGGGAGTAAAAGAAGAATAGACGTCTAGCAAAAACCGACACGCACTCCAGGTGCGGCTCGGTCATACCTCGCCCCGACTCATGAAACGAACCCCGACCCAGTGGACACTCGCGGTCGGGTGTCCACTACTCGGGGTCTTCCGTCGTCCGTCATCGTCGCGTTTGAAAATGAGAGAAGACCGTGTGCTACGATATATCCAGAGGCACAACACCCTTGGCGCGTTATTATCCAATCGTTGTCGTTCATCGCATCATCCACCGGTCGAGTGCCGGTATCCTGGGATCGAGAATTTACTCAGACAGGCCGAGGTTCTCCTCAGCAGGGACCACACGGACGGTGTTGGTGTGGCCCTGGCCACCGCGCCAGCCCTGGACACAGACGATGTTGTCGCCCTTGTTGATGATGCCGAGCTTGAGACCGTGGTTGATACCCCACTTGAGACGGCGGTCAACATCCTCCTGCCAGATCTTGACGTTGAAGTCGGGCTTCTTCTCGGGGAAGAGGAAGGGCCAGACACCACGGTACAGGTGGGAGTACTGCGATAAATCGAGTCAGCACAAATCACATGATTGTCACACCGAACACATGGACTTACCCGGGAGGCCTTGGCATTGCGGGAGACCATGATGATGGGGCAAACAGGGCGGTACTTGGAGACATAACGAGCGGTTTGGCCGCTACATCGCATGTCAGCACATTATTCGATCCAACAGAGGCGCGACACTTACCTGGTGGTCAGGACCACGATGGCACCAGCGTTAAGTTCCAGACTGGCGCTGACGGCGGCCATGGCGATGGACTCGACAGTGTCGGTGGGGCGGGGAGCAAGGTTACGGAGCTCATCGAAGACGTTGAAGTGGGGGATGGCAACTTCGGCGAGCAAGCAGGTCTCGGACATCATCTTGACGGCCTCAGCGGGGTAGGAACCCTTGGCGGTCTCACCAGACAACATGACACAGTCGGCACCGTCGAGAACGGCGTTGGCAACATCAGACACCTCAGCACGAGTGGGGCGGGGGTTGTAGGTCATGGACTCGAGCATCTGGGTAGCGCAGATGACGGGCTTACCCTTGATGTTACACTTGGCGATCATCATCTTTTGGGCGATGAACACCTTGGGGGCGGGGATCTCGATACCAAGGTCACCACGGGCAACCATGACACCGTCGGTCTCCTCGAGAATCTCGTCGAAGTTGTTGACACCCTGCTGGTTCTCAATCTTGGCAATGATCTGGATCTCCTTGCCCTCCTCGCCGAGGACCTCACGGATCTGACGGATGTCGCTGCCGCGGCGGATGAAGGAAGCGAAGACCATGTCGACGTCGTTCTTGACACCGAACTTCAAGTCGGCAATATCCTTCTCGGACAGAGCGGGAAGGTCGACATCAGTGCCGGGCAAGTTGACACCCTTGCGGGAGGAGATGTTGCCGTTGTTCAAGCACTTGACGCGCAGGGTCTTGTCGTCGACGACCTCCAGAACCTCGAAAGACAGGATACCGTCATCGACGTAGATGAGCTTGCCGGGAGCAATCACCTTGGTGATGTTCTTGTAGTCAAGGTACCTACGGGGATGCAGATCAGTCTCCGTTGACTCGAGTGCGCCCACAAATGACGTGATGATGACTCGCGGAAATCACCCACGGCGGAATGACTTACATGTTCTTGTCATCACTGGCAGTGGCATATTGCTCATCAGTGGTGATGTTCAGCTCGTGGCCAGCCTTGATGGGGATATCGGCGTCGCCGACGGTGTTTCCGGTACGGATCTCAGGTCCTTTCTACGGTCGGGTCAGATGCGTTGATCGTGAAGCCTGGTTAGAAGCACTTACGGTATCGAGAGCAATAGCCAGAGGCCGGCCCTCCTGGGTGCGAGCAGCCTCGCGGGCGTTGTCGATAACGGATTGGTGGTACTGTCAAAATCAGCATCAGGACCGAGCGGTGGCTGCAGACCAAGTGCTCACCTCGTAAGAACCGTGGGAGAAGTTCATGCGAACAACGTTAAGACCAGCTGGATCACAGGTTAATTCTCAGGAGCCCCCCGAGTCGAATACTATAACCAACGTACCTCTGCGGAGCATGTTGATCTTCTCGGCGGAGTTGGTCTTGGGACCTAGAAGCGGGGCAATGTCAGTAACCGACGAAATCACGGTTGCTGAAGCTCTAAGGCAAGACAATCAATGCAATGCGCCTGGGAGATGAGCGTACCGATGGTTCCGATGATGGAGGTGCGGCGGAAGTTCTTGGAGGGGACCATCTCCGTGTTGAGCTTGGAGTGCCACTCCAGCTTCATACGGTTGCTCAGATGGTCGAGAGAGGAGCTGGCGGCCATTTTGAATAAGGTGTCTCTACTGAACCGGATAGAAAAAAAAAGTATCAGAAGAGGTGAGTGAAATTGGAGAGGGAGGAGAGGTTTGGAGAGAAAGGAAGAGAAGAAGAGGAAGAGAAGAAGCAGAAGGGGAAGAAGAGAGAGAGAGAGTGGGGTGGGGTGGGAGGAAAGATAGGAAAGAAAAGATGAACAGCGGCGGATCCGGTGAGTGAGCGACCGACTAGACTGGAGCAGAGCAGGTCAAGAGGGGTGTGGGTGAGGATGAGTGGTCCGTTCTTCGGTCTGGAAAAATGTTGGCAGCCGTTTTTACCAGCTCCCTTTTCAGCTTCTCGGTCGGTTCCCCACGGGTAGCTGGTCCTCCAGTCGCCCACGCCCCCCTTCGTTTCTACGTAACTGAGCTCATTGCTATTATTAATGGCTTTGGTTGTTGTTGTTGTTTTATGGCAACTCTAACTTATCTACGGCCCACGAGTAACATGTAATTCTCTTTAAAAAAAAAGGATCATCCTCTGTACTTGACCATCCAGTCTGCCAGCTACAGTGTACATCCAGTACTAGGTACTAGTTATTTAAATTTGTACTAGAACCCCGCCGCCAACCGGAGCGGAATCCTCAGGCACACCTCCCTGGCGACTCTCCCAATTCGGTTCCATGTTGAGGAGGGATCCATGATCCATGATATTTGCCCTATCAACTCCGTAGTATCCTCCTAGTCTATCGCCAACAATTGTCACTTGGTGCTTTCCGTCCAGAACCAGCTTGCCCCGATGGATCATGGACCACATGACAAAACCACTGGAGGAGACTCCATCCCCACCATGCCCATCACCTCGATCAATCAGGTGCCGCAGAGGACGAATCTCCCATGTTTTTGCTGGGAACATGGAGCCGAAGTGGATGAGACCAACCCGTAGGGCTGAACAATATGCCTCAGCACAGTGCTCACTCAGTACAATCAGTCCAATTTTAAAACATGGTCGTGTCCGATGGCATGCAAACAGAATGAAGTTCGTGTGTGTGACTCCCGTTCCGGGAACTGATGATCGGAGACCTCCGTCACGCACACTCTCAGGCAACCAAGAGCAGCATCAATCTACATGGCCGTTTAGTGGTGTCTCGTTTCCCTTTACGCAAGCCAACCATGCACATCCGATCATCACTACTTCAGTCTTTTATCATACTTATGTATATCCGTACTGTGTATCGCAGGTAGCTGTACTGTACTTCCGTCCTCAACATCATCTATACTCTTCCACCTCCGATTGGCCAGAAGGAACCTCGCCAACCAGGCATCTCCGATGTCTTGATAGCGAGAGCCCAGGCTTCGGTTACCGACTCGGGACTCCCGGTGAACCCATTGTACCTGTGTTGCCTCAGAGACCAGGCCGTCACTGCCTCAGGCACTCTGCGGCATACTCTCCGCGGCGGCCCGCATTTGGCTTTCTCCGTTCAGAGACTTTAAGACTTTAAGCCCCGGTGCGCGGAGTTTCTTGCCTGGCCGGCACGCACGGCAGTTACTCCGGTCCACACAGGTTATTTGCGGTTGAATCTGGACTCGGAGATAGGTGGTTGTTGATTCCGCTTGGTGCCTCGCGTTTGGGATGGGAGTGAGCTTTTGCGTCTTGGTTTATACTGCGTACATTTTTGAACTAACGCTGTAGTAGGCTTGGTGTCTGGTTCATGTATTCGTGGCTTGTCGCTTGCTATGGGGTGTCTTGTGGAGATAAGAGCGATGTACCCTCTTATGGGCTGTATTGCGTTCTATCATCGATTGTAGACGCATATATCTGGTTCAACGCAACCCCCTAGGTCCTCACTTGAGGATCGCTAATGTCGCCGACCATGTCTTTCTTTCGGCGCTTGTCTTCGGCGGGCAGTTACTACAGTAGTATACCCAGCTGTCTTCCTCTTCACAGTTGATGTAGTGCATAAGTGCAGCTTCTCCATTAGACCTACTCGAACTTTCCCAATCTCTCAGACAAGAGATGCCGTCCAAAATATGGTCTACAAGACTCCTGCAATGTACTGTAGAGCACAATACCCAGTTGCCTCAATCAAAAGCAGCCTAAAGACAATTGATGGCATCTTGAATTCAAACTTCACATCTACACATCAAGATACCTCACTTCAAACCCCCACCGGCTTCTGCAGCCCCTCCCACCAACAAAAGCGAGCGACACAGCCACAACAGCCCCTCCCTCAGCCATAGCCATCAGTCACCCACCCATCTCCCAGCCACCAACAGTGCCTAGTAGGTGAAGTGCAAACCAGCCCCTCGTCCCCAACCCAGCCTCCGATTCCTCACCGCCTTTCCACCGGTGCCTAAACCACGAACAGTTTGGACAGATCACTCGCCCACGTCATGTGCCCTCGAAGCACGTGAGCCCGTCCACTGCAGTTCCCTTTCTCCACCATCTTTACACTTCAACTCCTCATTTCTCCGCTCCGAGCAGGACCGTCCACTTTGAACTTACCCGATAGCATAGCCTACAGGCAGCGCCTGAGTTTTCAGCCTACATTTCTTAGTCCTGTGAGTGGATTCGGGTATTGTTTGGCTGAGAGAGAGAGAGAGACAGTGTAGCTAACGGCGCAGATATCCAGTGTCTTCCTTCCCCTCTCTCTCCCGGGTTGTCGATTGTCGACTGTCGATCTATCTAGCCGCTACTTCGATCGTACCATACCACGCGCGCACGCACGCATACTTCAAGATGGTGGGTTCATCTTCTTACTCGCCAGGAATCTGAAGCGGGGGGTAGCATATGCGAGCCCGGGGAATAAGTGTATACTGATTTATGACCGGTTGGTCGGGGCTACTAGTTGGGTCGTCTCAGTCATTACGCTTTTGATGCGGTACTCAGTACGTTTCTCTTTCTTATTCTCTTATCGCGCCCCAGCCATCATAAGCAGGAGGCAGAAGTTCGGATGCGAAGCGAACCACCAGTGATGCTAACCCGCCCTTCGCTTTCTACCAGTCTCCGCCTTTCTGGCCGGCATCAAGCGGTCGACTGGATTAACGTAATAACCCCCCTCCCGCTTCCCGCGCATGTGCAAACCTCAACCTCCGAGGATTGAGGCTGGGTTGTATTCGACACCTCGTACATCACGCTAACTCATCTTCCTCACGCCTGCCCCTGTCCCGGGTTGTGCGTGGGGGTCCTTCACAGCCCCAGTCTCGAAACCGACAAAATCACCGATAATAAGGACTTCAAGCAGTGGATTGACAAATACCTCGGCGTGGGCGAGTGGGTGATGGACCAGTCCGTGGCGGTCCTCGGGTCGACCAGCTGGTTTGAGCGGAGACGGTAGAGGGTTGTTGATTATCGTCGGCGGCTGAGTCGGCTGCCCCCTCTTTCTCTCCTGTCTCAACGTGAATGAAGTGGCAGGGTCGACGAACTTGGAACGGAATCTCGATGTCGAAATCGGTTGCAGTGCCCGTTTACATGCCCGTTTCGGTTATGGTCGGCAGGATAGAGGAAAGAACTCCCCACCCCCTCCCTCTTCTTCCCCGTCAAGCCCGGGTGATCCTCCACGCGTCCGGGTCGGTTTCGTATATGCATGGTGATCGTACGGCGGGGATCCCGCTCGGTTGGTGTTGCAACAGCAAATCATGGCGTTAGGAATATCCTTCATTATCTGTGCACCTTGAGTCGTCTCTTCACTCGTGTACCTGACACTGGCGCTCTCCTTGATATTACCAATGTACATAAACTCATGTCGATAGCAAACAGTTATCGTACCACGCCTGGTTTATCCGCCACAACCGATGCATATCTCGACTACAGTCATCCTTCGCAGAGTGGCTGGGCTGAGAATGCAAGCGACATCACTGAGACTTGAGCCACCCATCCCAAGAGCCAATGGGTGCTCTGCCATGGAGGGAACGGTCACTCCGCCACGATGCTGAGCTCTGGCCCACGTCCGTTGTTGAAGCGCTAACGTGCTTCAATGTAAGACACCAAAGCAATGCAACTGGGTAGGTTTCAAGAATGGAGAAGAGTAGATAAATGACATGATGCGCCCATACGTAATGTTTGGAACAAGTCGGCCTCACGTCTGGAGTAGTGCATCAACATCGAGTCGGCGGTAGTAAGAGATGTGGCCCATTGTTTCCCAGTAGTGAGCCACACAGTCCGTTGAGAGCAGGATCAGTTGAGACGAGATAAAAGTATCTAGAAACTCGGGTCAGAGTAGACAAACACTTGATTCGGAACGATAGTTCTTACCATCACGGAAGCCAAGGCCCGCCACATGGCCTCGGCTGCGCACGATTCGTGCTCCTTGGAAAAGGCCCTCGTCAGCAATCCGCACCAGGCCGCCAGGGCCGATGTCATCCGCTGCAAAGGAGATCTCCCCTCGTGGTACGTTTGGGTCACCGGTCAGCTTGATAGCCTCGAGGCTTCCCTGTAGCGTCGCTTCGCCATCAGTCGGCTCGGCCGCCGCGAGCGATCCATCGCGGTCGCGTTGCAGCACAAGCAGAAATTCGCAGCCGTGGGCTGAATAATCGCCAACCCAAATGCCTTGGTATGGCCTGCGCGGTGTTGGCGTGTACACTGCAGGGTCGAGCGTGGCAAATGTCGAGAGGGTCTCATTCCGACCTGCGGCGAATATGGGAACCCCCAGACGAAAATGCGCCCACCTTCGGATCCGGAAACCATACTCTGACATCTCCTCTAGCTGTCGAGGATTGCGCTCCCACTCTGGTAGCTGTTGCTCGACATCCCGATAGACTCGATGATTGCTCGGGATGGTTGGTGGTGGCCACTGCTTACTCCCATCGAGGTCTGGAGGCAGATATTTTGAGCAGGGTGAAAAGGCATTGAAGACATGCTGCATCTCAAGAGCCATGGGCATGCGAATCTCTCCCTGCAGATAGCGTGACCGCCCCTCGCGCTGGGGCTTTAGCAAAAGGACAGGGTCGTCCAACCATAGACTGACCCTCGGATCAAAGCTTTGTATGATAACATCGGGGTTCCAGTCCCATATTTGAAATTGATGAGAGCGCCGCTCTGCGATGACCCGGTATGCCTCGATCACCCCGCGTCGATGATCATACCGCGCCAGAATCAGATTTCCTGTATGTTCTGTGTCGGAAAACCAGACTTTGTGCTTAGGAATAAACCAGCAGGGATGGTGGGCAATGTAGAGGCTACGGAAGGAGTCGAAAAGGCCAGGGTCATGAATAGGCTCGGGCAAGTAAGAGTTGATCAGATTCAACCACAGCAGCTCGTTATTGACGTGATCCGCGAGAGAGCGACAGGTAACGGCTACACGGGCAAGCTCTTGGGCTGACAGATAAGCCAGAATCTGCTGGACTAGTTCTGGGGGGAGCTTTAGGATGGGACCTTCCATGATGTCTTCAGTCTCGGAGGTAAGGTCGGCTATGGAGGACTGGGGCCCGTTTTTCTGCTCTGTTGAAGTCTGTCGTGGTTCGCCCAAAGCAGTCTGGCTCGAATACCAACTGGCTGACGCAGTGGCCATCGCAGTGGCTTGGGCGTGGAGAAGGACTGTGGAGCTTGTGTCGAGGGCGCAGTCAACTTCAGAAATGACAGCTCGCAAAGGGTGCCGGGAAGGAGAAGGGATATCTAGACAAAGGCGATCTGCATGTTTTAAGTTAGTGTTAGGGATTGTTGCTTCTTCGACTGGCGAGGGGAGAGTCAGATCGCATGACATCACCCGCAGCAGGCCCGCATCACCTCATCATCCACGCAGCAGAGACCGTGCAACGCTGTTACCAGGACATTTGGAACATTTGAGTCAGGAGAAGTAAGGGAGCTTGATCAATTGGTAGCCTGCAGTGTCTCGCATGGAAACGAACCCAGGTCTTGGGATGTTTGGGATGAAGTTGGGGAACGACGGTCATTTACTCTGGCCAGAGAAAGTGAGTGATGTGCAGAGCCAAATTTCGTTCCCTGGGAGCGATAAGATAGCAACTACCGCACTGCAACTTTGAGTGTGTAATCTGACAGGGGGAGGGAGGCCTTTGTGCTCAGGCTTAGGACTGATAAGTGCCCGAACTATGGTTGATCCACTGTAATCATCCATCAATGGAGCTGAGCTGATGACGCAGAAGTGATAACGTTAGTTAAGTCAGTACTCCGTAGCTTGCGGTCATTATGAACGAGCAAATGGCCGTGAACCTTTCACATGTCATACACGCACACAACCCCATCGCCAGGCACAGAGACAGTCACCTGATGGGCGCAAGGCATCCCCGGGAGGCCCCAGGCTCCAGGCTCCAGGCTAAGCCCAGCTCGGGATGTTGTTTACGCTTTCCCAATTGAGACATGGCCCTGGGTCCATCACGCGTAAGGAAGGCACGCCCTCGCCCTCGGCACGATCGACCCCTTGCCGAATGTAGAAAAATCATATCAAAATATACTCTGCCAGGTGGCCCCTGTTGCCTCCAGGTTGCGGTTCCATACTTTGTCGCGCTCTGTTGCCTTCGTTGCTCGGTAATATATCGCCTATATCGCCTTTCATGCATTCAACTGCACCACTGCATTTTCATTCGGGTTGCAACACGTTTCTATCATTATTCTGTCCGAGCGGAACCTACTGGTAACTCAGATACTATATCTATATCACTGATCTTCCTTTGTTGTACGACCTAAGCGTGTACTGTACTGTACCCCGCCGGGCCAATACGCAATGGTCGTTGAAACAAGACAGCAGTCCGGGCGCAAACGCCGGGTCGGTTCTGTCTCCGGTCCAGAGCCTCAACTCTCAGCGTCCACTCAACGAACAACTCGTCAGTCCAATAGCGCTCATGCCACCGCTACTCCTTCCAAGAGTCGGCGACAGCCTAGGAAGAAGGTCCGCTTCTCCGATCCAGGCCCTCAGCTACACGACGGCTCCGACTATGGGACTGGGCTCACGCCCGCCATGCTACGCACCTCCTTTGAAGAACGGGCGGATATAGATCCTTTGGCTAGCTCTCCAAGTCGCCGCTCGCGACGCCATTCCACGCCACTCCGCAAGACCCGCTTTCAGTCGCCTTCCCCGGCCTCCTCTTCGTCAGCCGGTGTGGAACAGGTGTTTCAATTTACGCCACTTCGACAGCTTCTGGACTCGCGGACGCAACGAAGAATCCGGCGAGTTGGGTTGAGTGATGAGATCAACCAGTTGGAGCGCGAGAAGAGGGACGCAGCACGTTATGAGCGAACCTTGCAGACATTGCTGCGGGAACGTGACTCTTTGAAGCAAGAGCTGGATTCGGTCAAGCGAATCGAGCGCCTGCCCACAGGCGCATCGCTGGAACCGGCTGGCGGACCCTCGTGCGATTCCCCTCGGTCACTAGCCGAGCGTCTGGAGTCTGAGAATCATCGAATGAGACAGGAGCTTTCTTTCTCCAGGGATGATCTCGTCGACAGCTCCAGTGTCACCAACACCGAGAACGACACAATCATCGTCAATGAAAGCGGATTTGACGGAGAAACGATGCTTATCTCGGACTCACCTGATCTCAGATCTCTATGGAAAACTTCACGCTTTGGCATAGATGGTTGTGAACTCTTGCGAAGCGGGAGCCCGAATGCGGATGCGGAAACTCAATTGTCCCTTCCTGACCATGACTCAGGGGCAGAAATCCATGCCCTCTTCGCAGACCTTGAAACTGCTAGGAGAGAGAAACGCGCCCTCTTCGAAGCATGCCGCTTTCGCATTGCGTCCTTTGGTGGAACTACGCTTGAGCCTCGTCTTCATCGAACTTCCCCACCGCCAGACTTCGTAGATCAACTGATACCAAGTCTGGCTGAGACCCTTGGTCGAGCTTCGGATGCCACGCAGTCATTGAATTCTATCAAAGAGGAGTTGTCAGAACTGGGATTTCCCGGAATACACGCCGAAGAGATCATTGCAGACATGCGCGATCAGTTCCGCTCCGCACGCTTGCGTCTCGAACGAGCGATTCCTGGAGAGACCCCGAATATAGGCTTGAATGACGGCTGCGCGACTCTTAGTGCTTTGGTCAAACGGATTGAGATCCTGATCAAAAGCTTAGGAGATGAGCGCGCAAGGGCTTTGGGCTCTAGTGACAGGGAAAGAGCCCTTCGTGTTCAATTCGATAACCTTCTGGCTCGGTACGAAGAAGCGAGCAAGAAGATCAGCGGTCTTGAAGAGTCTATTGCCGGCTCTGCTAGCGACATGCTCCATACACGAATGAGGATGCAGGAGCTAGAAAAAGAAGGAGAGGAGCAGGCCGTAGGTATTGACAGACTCAATGCCGCGCTTAACAGGTATCGCGAGGAGATCAGGAGCCTAGAAACACTTGTCACAGATTTAGAATCAGATAAAGTCACGAACAGCGACATTTACAGTCAGCAGGTGTCGAAGCTTCAACTACAAGTCACAGAACAAGAAAATGCGCGTCGCGTCGCTGAGGGCACAGTTGCAGACCGTGAAGCCCGCATCCGCGAATTGGAAGACACTGTTGAACAAAACCGTGCTCGATCGTGCCAACTGAGCGTCAGAGTGGAGGAACTGGAGTTGGAGCGTCAGAAGGCAATCGAAAGTCTCGAACAGGAAGCGGCTGAGCAACTTGAACAATGTGAGAAGGAAATCGGTACCCTCAACGTTGTCGTTGCAGAGCTCAACACATCACTCGCGGGTGCCAAGTCAGAGATCGATAGTCTACGGCGGAGCAACGTGGGCTTGGAGCACCAGCTGCGGCTTGAGACCGAAGCTAGGGACAATCTTCTGGAGACATGGGCTGCGGAGCAAGCACGCTCATTTGCTCGAATGAAAGAAACCGTCAGCAACGAACGCCGCAAGGCCAAGGTCCGAGCCGCCAATTGGGAGATTCGGTCTGATGAACTGCAGTCGGAAAGTACCACACTGGGCAGCGAGCCTATCACACCGGTCAGCATGACCAGATTTATCGATGTGGAGGCTGGACGGGGCGAGCACCGTAAGCGTCTGGACAGTGGCATTGGGATTCTCACCGATGAGCCCGAGGAGGATGCGGCTGCGGGCGCGGATATGCAGGTGTTGCTGCCCTCGGACCCGGCTGACCTATGAGCATTTCCCATTTACTACACTGTTTACAGCTAGACTATGTACCGTCTGACTTGCATGCGTGTACCAGTTCGGTTTGGGACGATACGATCTGTGTTTTGGTCTTGTTTGGTGTCATGCTAACGGGGTCTGGTTTTTGTTTCGGAATATATCCTTGGCTCTCATGTTGGCCACGTGTAAAACAGTTGAGTCAGACGCTGTGAGCCGTAGACTCTTATGTCGTACAAGCTGGGAAGAAAATAGTGTTGCATTAAGGATAGTCCTGCACTACAAGACTAGGTGCTATAGATAGATCGAGCATCAGTATAGACGATAGTATAGTACATAGTAAGAAGCTGTTCATGCCTTAGGATAAGGTTGATCCCGCGTGGGGGCGGACGGAGCTCCTGCCCTGACTGTTGGGTGGTTTGGTTGCCCCGGCAAACAACGGTTGTTTGCTGCTGGGAAGGTCACTCCTGTCCATATTGACCCCCAAGTGAACATTGGAATAGAAACGATGAAGGCTATGGCACGTGGCATGCAAGGACCTTGCACTGGGCGAACGAACAAGAGATTTGGTGGACAAGCAAGCAGCGCGGAAAAAAAGGAGGTGTGGAGATTCTTCGTATAGTTACAGGTAAAGTCCAGTCACCGACCGACCGGGGTCAAACAACCCAACTACGTACGTAGTACTACGGAGTAGTTTAGAAGAAGCACTAAGCCAGCAGAGTCCTTCCACGAATGATTCTAGAAGAGCGCTAAAGCACAGTCCGGTGTCAATGGTATTACGATTGTCCCTCCTCATCGGTTGGTCCTGATTCCTGCGAGCCCCTCTTCCATGCAGGGACACGATGGCAGACGGGGAGGGAGGAGTGAGCTGCAATGCATCAGCCATGCGGGACGGGGCAGACGGACAGACAGACAGACAGACAGACACATTGTCAGTCAGTGGCAACTGCCAACGATGTCGATACAGAGAGTTATGGAGCGTTTGGGCGCACATGCCTCCTGACCACCCTGCGGCAGACTCCCTGTCCTCCCGAAGGCCATGCTGGCTCGGGAGTTGTCTGCAAGTGCTGTGCTGGGACCCATCCTATGCATGGTGTGTATGTGCCTCCCGGGCAATGGTGAATGCCCATAACCCGCTGATTCGCTCGTGGGGAGCTGCAAGCTGGCCTTTAGTCCAGGGGCGTGGGGTGACTTTTCGGCGCGACTGCAGGAGATTGCAGGGAGCTCGGCCACTAGTTCGAGTAGTATTACTGAGTCTCCGTACAAGTGCGAAGTACGTAGAGGATAGCGCGCCTCTGGATTGAGGGAGTTTATCCGGGGATTGGAGGGGAAGGGAAAAAAAACAGGAGTATGTGACAATGGCCGGGGTGTAGGGTCAACCTTGTTTGGGACAGGAAGAAAGGGAGAAACTGGTTCAAGTTCCAAGCACACTGGTTGACGTTTGTTTCATAGGGGCCCTCCCCCCAGAGAGGGGTCGTTTCAAGCGGGCTTGCTTCGATCTGCGTCAGCAATAAAGTTCTGGTAGGGAAGGGGAAAAAGACTGTTGGCAAGGGCGCACCGCCATCATTGTTTTTGACTGATGGCTGATTCAAGGGCGAGGAAGAAGTTTGAGAATAAACAGGCGCCTGCATATGAATGTGTTTGTTGACCACTGCACCGTTTGGAATTTACTCTCTGAGGAGGTCAATAGTACGTGGGACTATTATGCAGGAGTATCCACTAGAAGGAAGAAATGGAAGAAGGAACAGAGAGATGGAAGTGATAATTGGAATAATAATAATTGTTCTGTTCTGTTCTGTTCTGTTTTGTTTTGTTTCTTGTTTCAATCAAAGTGAAGCCGCGGATCCGACCCCTGAAAACCAAGCCTGTGCCTGAGGCCGGCGTCCGGTCATCTCCACTTTTCGACCCGTTCTCGCCTTCTGGCTTCCTTCTCTTCCTCTTCTTCTGCTGCTTCGGCTGCTGTTACGGCCTTTCTCCTCTTTCTCTTCTCCCTTCTCTCTCTCTCCACGCCTCCTCCTCTTCCTCCTGCTTCTTTACATTCTTCTTTCACTCCTCAACTCAAACCATGGTTATTGGAAATAGCCGCCCCTGATCACTGGCCCAAACCACTCAATGCTTTCCTCTTCTGCATCTACTCACTGTGTTGTTGTTGCTCACCACCATGGTTCTATCTCCTCCAACCACCTCTGACCTGTCTCACTAGCTTTGACCCCCCCACCAACCCGAACCAAACCACGTCTCCCTCCCGTTTGTTTTTTGTTGTTGGCCTCTGTTTATATCACGTCACACGCTCTCGCTCTTCTCCCTCCCCTTCAGGAGCGCGTCTGAACTCCCTACTTGGTGGCATCGCTGCTACCCCTCCGCCATCGATCGCCACTAAATATTATCTACGCCCTTGCCTACCTCCCTTTTCTCCCCTCAGTCAACTCCGCTCCTCTGTCGATCCCCAGGCATCCGGTCCGGGACGATCCGCACCCCAGCTCTCTCCTGACACTCTGCGCCCGCGCTCCTTTATTACCGACCAGAATTCATCATGAATGACACCGGTGGTCATCCAGGCGTGCGGAGCCTGCTCGCTAAGTTCGAAACCAACCAAACCAGCGCTCCCTCACCACCCTCGCGAGGTCGATCCCCTGCCGGCTCTGACAACTCGGGCTCTGCTCGGCCTCTGTCCAAAATCCGTGCGAGTTTCGTCGCTGTTGACGGTGCCACTCAGCCCAATCCTCTCGCAGGCTTGCGCAGTGTCAGTGTGCGCAGCGACAGTCCCGCCGGCCCAACTAGAGTGCGGAGCTTTCACTCGGATGACATGGAAGGTGGTTTGAAGAGCCCTTTGTCACCCACGGGCAATGGCTTCCCATGGAGGACCTCTGCTCCATCCACGACGGAGCCAGAGGTGGCATTGAAGCCAACCATGGAGAAAGTCGCTACGCCTCTAGTAGAGGACGCCAAGCCGCTGGAAGATAAGGAGAACACCCCTGCCGAGAACACCACCGCGTCCACAGCAGCGGCATCGAACCCCCCTTCCCCAAAGAAAACTGCAACCCCGCGCCCAGCTGCGATCCAGGTGGCGAAAAGGTCGTCTCCTGTGAAGCCTGCTACGAAGTCGCCCACTCACCCCCGTACGCCAACGTCCCCAGCCAAGACTGTTGATCACACAACCAAGACTACCCGGGCGTCGAGGCCATCTACCACCGCAAAACCCACTCCGCATGAGCCCGTGAAAGTTGCGACACAGAAGCCGAGCCGGACCTCCCTTAACCCCACGGCTAAGCCCGCTACCAGAACTGTGCGTCCTTCTGCGTCGGCTCGGGACTTGACTAAACCGACAGCGTCGAGCGTTTCTCGCACTACTCGAACGGTGTCTACCTCCACTCGCCCTTCGGCAACCACATCGACCACATCTACAACGGCCAAGAAGGGACCTACTGCAGCACCCTCTGCTCCTCTGTCGCGCAAGCCATCTACATTGAAGAATGCAAGCGCCACAACCCAGCGCCGCGCCATCACCCCAACGGCTGCGAGCCTTCGCAAACAAGCCCCTCGTGCTTCTCCTCCTGAGAGGCCGCACTCGCGGACAAGCAACACCAGCTCCAAGCCTGTGGATGAGGGTTTCTTGGCAAGAATGATGCGCCCGACGGCCAGTTCTGCCAGCAAGTCGCACGACAAGGTTGATATCAAGAGTCCGCCCCGCACCACCCGGACTGCTCAAGCTCCGCGCCGTGTTCCGTCGAAGCTCGAAAGTCGCCCACCCCGTCTGACTAAGCCCGATCATGGCAAGCAGCGTGGAGCCTCTGCAGAGCCTCAGAAGCCTCAGCCTAAGCCAGAGCAGGATGCTGCTCCAAAGGAAACTTTGGCTTCGCATGTGGCTCTTCAGGAGAAGCTTGCAGAGCCTGAGCCCAGCGTTCCCGAAGAGACTCCTGTTGAGGCACCTGCCGCTGAGGAGGAGCTCAAGGAGCCTAAGGAACCCGAGGAGCCTCAGGAGCCAGTGGTTGAAGAGGTGGTTGCTCCTGTGACTGAAGCACCTGCTGAGACTATTGCCATCCCCAATGGTGACGAGGCTAGCGAGGAGCCAGCTGTTGTCGAGGAGCACGCTACTGAGCCTCTTTCTTGCGTTCCAGAGGATCACGCTGTCTCTTCCGCTGAGCCAGCCACAGAGGAGGCCTCTGAGCCGGAAGATCTGGCTGATGAGGTTGTGCCTATCGAGACTCCTGCGGAGATTGCTACCGGGACTGCTGAGAAGATCCCCTTGGAGGCTTCGAACGAGGTCAATCTTCCCATGGACAAGCTTGCCCTCAACTGAGGCAGGACTATGATCCCGATCGTCGGAACCATGAACGGTAGCTGCCTCGGGGTCGAATAAAACAATCTACACTTCTTTTCTTTTGACATACCTTTCTTATACCCTTGGTAATTGCGATGTGACTAGGCACATGCGCCTGTTTCCACCTGTGTTTTCTCAATAGTTCATCATATGTGTTTTTGATTTTCCTCATCCCCATTCCTCATTCCTACGTCTCTTCTTTCGGTTCCAGCGAGCCTCTTGTTTCTCTCCAAGGAGCAAGACCGACGATGGTTGCATGTCGGAGCATTGTCCGGTGGAGTTGTTTCGGGATTCGTCGATCTTGATAGTTAGCGCTGTGTACGGAGTACTGCGTCTTGCATATGTACTGGGGTTTTCCGATAGGTTTTTGATCTTGCTTGTGCTGCGTATTCGGTTTGGTATTGAACTGTAGGAGGCCTTAGGCTACTATGTTGAATTGTTGGACTGAGTTGCAAGCAACTGTATTTTTAACTTTTGGACAATTGTTAATTGTTCTACCAAGGATGACTTTACTCACTGTCCACATGGAAGAATTGTCGAATGCACTATAGTCTTTGGGAGTACGTAGTTGTGGAAAATGGAACGTTCCATTTGGGGTTCCTGCAAGATAAGATCGAGATAGGGCTTAGCGCCGAAATGCCCCGGAGCCCCAAACAAAAAACATTGGACCTGTTCCTGCCTGCTCTATCCTATC